AGGAACATCAAGAAAGGGGCAGGATAAACATAACGGGGACCCAATTGGATGGATGTCCGGCTCAATGTTTTAGACTAGACTACTTACTGGCCGAGGAGCCGGTCGGCAAAACAACAAAAAATTCAACGCAAATAGCCTACAAATGTGGGTCCAGCTCCTTTTTCCTAACTACGTAGCATCGTGCCATGTGGTAATAACGCCGGAATTGCCAGTAAGCTATTGGCATCGGCCCGTGCCGTGAGATGGAAGGAGAGTTGGCGAAGATGCTTGGCTTTCTAGCCGGGTATTCAAGGACCCTAAAAACAAGCCAAGACTGGCGTTCCTGCCCTTAAACCCCATGGTATAGGCTACCTACATAGGCCTCCATCGTTTTCTCAAAGCCTGAGCTGCAGCCTTTGGTTTCCTATCCCTCGTAAAGATACCCTTCTTGTTACCATCCACCCTGCTGACCCCTACAGCCGCCTGAAAGTCAGCAAAGTTCCAGACCTGCTCTCCCACCACTGACTCCACACGGTCAAACACCCGATGATACATGTCAAGCAGTTCGACCTGGAACTCCTCGCTCCACGGAAGCCCAAGCACAGAATGGAGGCCAGCAATAGTATCTGCCCCGTATTCTGTCATGACGATGGGCTTGTCGTATTTGCCCTCCCAGCCCAGTAGCTCCTTTTCGAGAGCCGCCTCTGCCTCCTCAATCTCGCCAGTTTGGGTATACCACCCGAAATAGCGGTTGAGGCAGAGAACATTAAACATATCCGAGATTCGATCAAGCTCATAGGTAGCATCTCCGTAATTTGTAAAACAGACTGGACGGGTGGAGTCAAGCTCGTGGGCCAGGTCAACTAGTGGCGCGAAATACTCACGAGCTCCTGCCTCATGCGATGCAGGCTCATTAGCAATCGACCACATGACAACGCTAGCGTGGTTTTTATCCCGAGCAATGAGCTCCCAGATTGCTTGCTTGTGAGCTTCGCGCGTCTTATTGTTGATTCCTTCCGGGGTGAATGTCTGCTGACTGTCCTCGCTGGACTGACCAGCCCCAATGGAGTATGACAGGCCAACGGCGGGTGTCTCGTCAATGACAACAATTCCGTGCCGGTCCGCGAATTCCATTACCTCTTCGGCGTAGGGGTAGTGTGAGGTGCGGAATGAGTTTGCTCCCATCCAGTTCATTAGCTGAAAATCGTGGACCATGTACGCTGGGTCGTAACCTTTGCCGCGCACGTTACTGTCTTCGTGTTTCCCAAAGCCAGTGAAGTAGAATGGCTTGTCGTTGATGAGAAATTGGTTCCCGCTGACTTTGACTGTGCGTACACCCGTCGCAACACTATAAGTGTCAATTATACTGTCGTCCGAGCCCACTATGCTCACTTGAAACTGGTAAAGATATGCATCTCCCGGGTGCCACAGTCTGGCAGAATCTATGGTAGCAGTACCACGAGTACCTGATGCCTCGGTAACAGTCCTTCCATCCTCATCGACCACCTTGATCTTGATGCGCTCTGTCGTTGAGTTTGATACTGTGACAAGGTAATCGATCAGCCCGGTTGTGCCATCCACGTTAGTGATAACTCTGATGTCCTGGATGTGCTGTTTCGGAACAGAGTACAGCGAGACGGAGCGTGCAAGTCCAGCATAATTGAAGAAATCATGCTGGTAGACCTGCGTTATTTTACCTGTAAACTCCTCCACCTCGATCCTGCCCGGAGGGATAACCTCGTGAGTCAGCACGTTACTTACGGCGATAGTTAGACGGAAGCTAATGCCCGCAGAGACGAGACCCGTGATATCTGCTTCGAAAGGTGTGTAGCCACCCACATGCTCGGCGACTAGATGATCGTTGATATAGATGCGACCATGGTGCGTGGCGGCCTCAACGCGCACGAGATATTGCTGGTGTGACCAGCCACTGGGAACAATAGCCTCGCGCTGGTAGTAAACCCATCCAACATGGTCATGTATCTGACGATCGACAAAGATGTCGTTGTAAGAGGCTGGAACGGGACACTCGAGATTGGTGGCTAATGGGGCTGTCCAGGGCGCGGCCGTCTCATTACCGCTGGATCCGAGAGCAAATTTCCAAAGTCCATCGAGGGAGACTATATCTCTGAAAGGTGTTTGTTGGGGCTTTAGCATTGCTGGTCTCTGCAGGACCGTTTGACGTGGGTGGAAAAGTGAGGGTGTAGAGGCTGCATGTTGGATTTGGGATAATATTGACAATACTAAGAGGAACCTCATCTTCACAAAGTCAAGGTAGGTTTATCAGAAGATTTGATCTTGCCAGGGGTTGACCAGTCACTATGTGCGATAGTAACGCATCTTTTAATATAGAGGCGGCAATTGACTGCTATGCATATGCACACCATCGGCTACTGATACACCTATCACGTTAGCTATTTGGTGAATCTTAATTCTTTTATTCCAACAGTAATATCTAGTCAATGGTCCCTTGGTAGCATTGCCAAGATACTGCCAAGCACGACCCTCTTGTTCTTCTTTGCAGATGTGGTCCCGAAGCGGTCCCGAAAAGGGTCCAGGATGCAGCCAAGAACCAAAGTGCGGAGAAATTAGAGTGTGCGGTGCCCACGGACCCGATTAATACTATAATCATCAATTGCCGATTAGAGGTGAACTAACCGGGGGTGTCGTAGAGCATGATGCTCAAAGTCATGCCATCAGTGGTTCATCTGTCGATGGCAGACCTATACATATCATCTAACTGTGACTGTATCAGGCTCTCTTGTTGCATCGTATACCTTTCCGAGGGCACGAGGGAACCTTAGCCATATCAATAGTTAGAATTTGATTAATTTATTTCTCACCCAGGTGGCAATGTTTCTTGTTCATCTTTCTGTAAAATCCTTGTTCAGTTCCATTACGCATATTCATTCCTCCCATTTGTGTCGGCATAGCGAAAATAAGACTAACATACCTGGGCCTCAATCGAATTCCACCCTTTGGGGTGTCACACGGAGCTTCACTGGCTGTATCAATACTTATCAAATGAAAGATTAGTATATTTCTAGATTTACTGCCCATCCATACTTTTTCTAGACTAGTAGGTGAAGTTCGAAACTAAGTCAATAGCAACATGATACAGAGGAATGAGATGTGGCATTCTACGATATAAATTCTTTTTGTGGCTCAGATTAACCAGCCGGCCTCCACGGATAGACGTGCAAGGCGGCATTGAGATAAGGTGAATGAGAAGATAACAGATAAAGTGAAGAAAGGCATATTTGGCGTTCACAAATACGCAGCACTGCGCAAATTTATGAGCCGGGGGATGAATTGGCCAGACTAGTTGACCACGGCCAGTGAAGATAGAAATTCATCCATGACAGTCTGTCCCAACGTATTAACGCACATTCCTTATGCGCTGATTAACGCGAAGCATCGAACGTTACTACGTAGAGAGATATTACATTCACCTTTGACCCGATATACGTAAGCAAAAATGGTTATTTAATCCACCTTCTAACCCCCCGAACTGCTTTCTTCCTCTTCCGCTCTCCCCCCCCCCCAAACTAAGAGTTGTTGAAGATCTCAATCTCATGAGATGTGCCTGGGTCTTACCTCTATATAACCGGGGACTTCCCGCCAACGTCAGATACTCTGGCATATATAAACATCCTTATCTTGTCGATCGGAACTTTCCAACAATCCCACATCATCACACTAAATTGTTCACCTTTTGCATCCTTACAGGAGCACAATGTCAACAACGTCTCCCCCAAATCCAACCTTTTTTGACAATAAACCGGCTTCAAAAAGGAGCTCTCAAGCGATGCAGCAATAACACTTTCGACGCGAATGGGTGGAATACCGAATATCGAATCTCTTATTCCAGCCATCCTGCACCACACAGGATAGACCTTTCTGCCATGCTCACTCATCCTCGGTGCGAATATAAATGAGCTGGCAATTTATATATACTAAGCAACTTCTTGACACAGTGGTACTTCGTTGTGGAGCCGCGTTAGTGTTGAGTTTTCATCAAACTGTACACATATGATTACTATCAGAATAAAAGCGCGACTGGAGAGCCGCAAAAGTTGTTGACATTCGGAGAATGAAAAGGGGATAGTCCATGCTGACTAGTTGATGAGGAGCACAGTGACTTCCATCTGCTCTTCCGTGATGGGTTAATTTAACCTGTGTCTGATAACATGCTATGGTGAGTCGATAATACCACAGGATAGCTGGTGCGATTGATGCTGACTGAGAATAGCTGCTTGATGGTGCTTTGTTGAAGTCTGACAACTTCCAGAATGAATGAACAAAGATTCCATGTTTCTTGTCCACTTGTTGTGACGTCGAGACATCATGAACAAATACTTGCTGTGGCTGGGAGATCAAGGAACGATCAGACATGCAAACATACAGCAGTAGTACAGCTTCAAGCTCAGCTAAGACATTTATTACTGGATAATGTTTTTTAGGAAGACCATTAGTGTATGCACTGTTATCTTTACAGATATGTGATTATTATACTTACTTTGGTCTGATGATTGGGCTGTGGCATGCATTGGGGCTTGTCTATGGGTTCTAAAAGGTAAGTCGATGTATTCAACTTGCAGGAAAGAACGAGAACGAGCAGACGTTCACCCAATTGTCACATGCTTGCTAACTATAGAGCACTATAGGAGCCCAGAGCACCATATCATGCTCGCTGCCACAATCTGTATTTGTTCACAACCATGCACTGTGCCTCGTTCACTGCTGCACAGTCTACCTGCTCGCTGCCACACATTATAACTTGCTCGCTGCCACAAGCTCTCTTTGTTCACAACAAGAATTTCTTCCTTTCTCGCTGCCGCAGAAGGTTTATACTTCATAGCCTTCTGCATAAAGCCCACTTCTGAGGGAATTGGTCGATATGTTCCTTCACAAATGGGTTTGCCTCAAAGGTATAAAGCCTGTCTCCTTCCCTGTCGTTTGGCTTTTTTCCCCTTTTCTCTCCCAGTTCTCACTGCTCTTCTGAGACATTGGTTGTAACAATGGATTGGACGGAGTTGAATAAGGTTGTGATAGTCGCAGGTCTTATTGGCTTTGCTATCGTTCTCAAGAGTGAGGCCCCGAAGCTTCGAGAATGGTATCGCAAGCTACAGGAAGCCAGAGCTGCTCAGCCGGGCGCCCCTGTCTTCCAGCAGTTGGCAGTGATTCGTTCGCCGCCTCCAGCTCTGCTGCCGATCCATTCACATTCAACGATTGAACTCACCTTCTGGGAGAATCAAGGTGCCTTGGGGGAAGATACTCGTCTTGAGGACTCAGGAGAACGGGGAGATCGGATGTGGTATAGAAATGACGCACAGTGGTAGTTACGTACACATCTCGTTGGATTGGGAACTAACCTCTGGTATGAGACGTTGGCGAAGTTTGGGGACGCCCACCGGCGATGAGTCTACCCTTCTACGTAGGGCCGGTGATTAGTAGCCTTCGGGCGAAGCTAAGATGGGCTCGGATCTGTTTAGATCGAATAAAAGTATTTGCAGTTTACTTCTTCTTTTCTTGCGCCCTCAAGGAACATTGCTTCTAGAGTCATCTTTAGTGAGTGACCACGATGCGGTGCAACTATTGCCCCAGCGCTATTTAGAAGGCATGTTTCAAACTTTTGTACTGAGGATTATAAAATAAAAAGAACGTCCTCATACTAATTTTCTGATACTAGTTATACAAAGAAATGAATTTAAGTAGCATACTAATCTTGAAGTGATTTCTTCGAACTTGTTGCTTCCTCTTAGATGGTCCTATCGACATAATCTTTCTATGTACTCTGTCCATTAGCCATGACATCTGTGAGGGCTCTCCCAGCTTGCATATTGGCAGTTTCGGCATATTGATAGCCAAACACCACTTATTAAACAACATACTTCAGCTGCCCCAATTGTAACCCATCGCTAGGTCAATGTAGCTGACAAGAGTCTTGAGGTATTTCTGCGGAGGATCATCTACACGGCGTCTCTTGATATTCCAAGCCTGTTCACCCGGATACGCTCCTCATCTTATACCTAAGTAGCCACAACCTTTAGGCTGCATTGGGAAAGTTGAAGGAACAAAGCTTTGCCTTCGACCATTGCTTGCTTGACACGGACCATATTAACCCACTCCACGATCTACAGACGATTCTTCTGAGAAAGGCTCGGCCTCTACCATCTAGTAAAACTACATTACTTCTTACAACATTTCTTCGTGGGTGTATGGCGCGCTGGTACCAGTATACAGGCTTGCTTTATGGCAACAATACGTGATTGGCGTCGGCGACCGTGTAGACTGTTGCAGTCTTAACAGCCATGTAAACAGGGCTGACGATTGAGGCTCTGCAAGACATGTTGCCTTCCAGTATACAGCATAGGACTCCACCGTCGTCTGTCTACTAGGCTGCTGATTGCAAACGGCCTTGTTCTCGTTCTCCTTGTCATGTATCTATGAGCAACGAAGTGGCGACGGTGCTGTATCGGCGGGTAAGGGTTCGAAGAACCAAGGCTTCGCCAGATAAGACACGAATAGTGTGCTGTGAATCCGAACTCAGCATTGATGCGAATCAGTTTTAATTTTTTTGCCAAGGTTTCCATGTTGTTCCGAATGCTCAGACCGAGCATGGACTGGCATGGAATCTCCACTTAATTTCCACGTACTAGTTCCTTAAACAGAAATGGGCTGCGCGGCCAATTGATCACTATGACTCACGTAGGCACGGAACATCACATCAGCTGCATCGGATGAGCAGCGTAGCATGGGTGGGGTTCATTGATCATGGGGTTCAAAGTGATGTTCGGGTGGAAGGCCTGACATATATTTTATGTGACATGAGTTAGGATATGTACTCTTACGTTGTGACGTGCTCTACATGCCTCGTCACTGGTAGGGCATCATTCCTGACCATACATCTATGCTTCTCGAGCCTCGAGAGCTTATTTGAAACAACATGACCAATGCCGATTGCCCGTATTGTAAGAGCAGAGATATCCAGCACGTGAGAGGAAAAGAAAGAAAGAAGGGAGATCAAAGGAATATGGCGAGGTCTTCCGCTAGCTGCAGCAGTTTGTGGACCATCGTGGGATCAACAACCAAGAACTCAGGCATTTCTATCCCTTTCCTCCCCCTTCTTTCCTCGGTGTTACCACAACCACCAGGATCAACGTTGGAGCAATGCCCGTAAGCTTGCAATAAGAGAGATAGCGTAAGATATCTAGACGAGAGAACAAATGGGTGTCACTTATTATACGCAATTGAACAGCAACGAATCACATAACCTCTTAGTGATCAGCGTCGGGTGATTAGATGCCAGGATGCCTGAAAAATAGCCCGAGTCGAGTAAGCACACCCAATCGGAAATCTGGGGAAAATGCAAACTGCTTGGAGTGAAAGCTGGATTGATGCTAACCTTAAACATACCCCTCAGATTGAGATGACCTGGAACCACGTTTCATGTAAGTGTAGGCGTAAGTGCCCTCCCCTGTTTCTATTTCATCCTCTTATTCTTTCGTACATCTCCGATCATCCACTGTATGGTTACAGTCGGCAGGTAAATGAGGTTCTCCTCCATCAGCAAGGAGTATCAAGTGATTTTCATGGTGGGGTCAAGCGGTCATAGTATTCCAAATGGAAGAAACACCGACCAGCTTCCCCGCCATAAGAGACGCTGAACTAGCGTAAGGAACTGCTTAAGTATGATTGCGGGCTTCTTGAATCAGATGCGATGATTCTACATAACGGAGACAAGATAAGAACCCAACAAAACAGTTCGGGCCGGAACACTAAGCTCATCACCAAGAGGAGACAAGCTTTTCCAAATTTTGATCTCGCTATGTGTACTGAGATTGGTGGTTCACCAGGTCAGAGAATCCCCTCGGTAGCCAATTCCGGAAAATAACCAGAAGCCTTGTGCCAGCAATGCAAGGTGCTCTATCAGATGACTTGACCTGCAGGTGGCAGACGCAAGGCTTCATGCCCATGGACCAATCACCAAAGCTCACTAACGAAAATATGCAACTGACGCCATCTCGGTGGCAGCGGAGAACCAAGTACACTATATACTCAAAAGTCTCGGGACACTCAAAATTTCTTCAATTTCTAACACAAATAACTCTCTCAAAGAATGAGATATAAGTCTCTAATTCTGAGTATATATAAATAACTATCATATATATATATAAATATAATAAATAATAAATAATATTTATTATTCAAGAAATGATCTATAATAAATCAAAATTTCTAGTATTCTTTTCGACGCAAATATATTGAAAAATTTATATGATATACTATTTTTTTTATATTTTTATATTACTTTTTAATCAATTCTAAATATTTTTTATATATATTATTTTTTATAAAACTCAAAATTGATCATTTCGTGATTTTTTAAAAATATAGATATAAAAATCTATTATTTATTTAATAAATTTTATACGGGTTCCCATACAAAATATATAATTTTTTAATTTTAATTATATTTAAATCTGTGCAGTTTCATATAAAAAATTATAAAAAAAAATATTTTAGTAGAATATTAATCTTTTGATATTTAAATATAATAATATCAATTTTAAAATCCACTATACCATATAAATTTGTTGAGATAAATAGATTTAAAATAGATGAGTTTTGGTGTGATTTGGGGGGTTGTCCCGAGACTTTTGAGCACTTATTGTACGTACGCAATGCAATATACCTGCACCTAAAGCATCACCCCTAAGCTTATTGGCTTGCCCGTGAAAGTGGACAGCAATGGCGGCGGTGTGGCTTACACGCCAATCCCACTCTGTCAATTCTCCTTGGGGATTAGAGTCAGTCTCACTCTTTCGTATAGAGAGACATAAATGAAGGACTGCCAGGGTCTTGCGGATGCTGAAAGGGCACCCATTACTGTTCTCATTGATCGCTTCGCTTATCAATTCCACTGACACCAATACCCCTAGCTATGATTGACCACGTACATGCCATCATGTTGAGCCAGTGCGTTAGATAGAGCTTCCGGATAAGCTATACATGTGCTGATAGCCTAGCAGGAGCAAAGTAGAAGATGATTCTCGAGAGCTGCATCGCTCATCACCAGAAATCGCATTTCGCCAGCTTCTGGAGCCGGTATACCGGGAGAAACAACCGTGGCTATTCCAGGATCTGCTGCGGCGCTACCAAAAGCTCTGGAAAGAGCTGCCAGAGATAGCCAAAGATGGCCGCTCCCCGGACTGGGTGATGACGATCGACCGAGTTCAGCAACGAGTCAAGTCTGTTATGCCGCAAATGGTAGACTTCATATCGTGGGATTGTCGACAGCCAGCACTCCTGGACCCCCGGTCAGGCCGCGACATATCGCACGCAAAGGTGCGGCAGTTCATAGAGAGGTTCGATCTCAATCTACCAGAATCGACTGCGGGGAAGCCGCGAGTCGCTGTCATCCTCCCCAATGGGCCTATCCTGGCACTGGCCTTGCTTGCTGTAGCAAACCGCTATACCCTGATACCGATGGCAAAAACAGCTGTCCCAGAGGAAATAATGACTGACCTTGACGCAGTCCGTGCAGACGCAGTTCTAATGCTCGAGGATGATGTGCAACGCCTGCAGACATGGCTGAAGCTGCTCGTCTTCACTGTTCAACCTCAGAATGACTTGACATTTTGTGTCACTTGCATAAACAGCTCAACCGTAAAGTGTGGAGCCCAGCACGCCCCAAACGGCCCGGATGATCTCGCCATTATCCTGGCAACGAGTGGGACTAGTGGCACCAAGAAGTTGGTTCCAATCACGTTGTTCAATCTCCTAGTCAGTACAACCTTCACAATGGATAGTCTGGGATTGGATACTGAGTCCCGCTGTCTGAATATGATGCCGCTCCATCATGTGTATGATCCCCTCGCAGCCACACAAGAGATGTGGAAAGACCTGCGCTAACAGAACCAGTGGTGGTATGATACGTAGCTTGTGGGCTTCCCTTGTGGCGGGAGGCATGACAATCTGTTGCTCGCAATTTGATCCGAACCTCTTCTGGGATGTGGTTGAGAAGTATCACCCAACGTGGTACTACGCGGCACCAACAATGCATGAGATGATAGTAGCTGAAGCTGCGCATCGAGCTGATGCCGTTAAGAATAGTACCATTACATCCATCTGCAACGCAGCAGCCGCATTGCCCCCGAATGTTGCACAGCAGCTTCAGGAAATCTTTCAATGCCCAGTGTCACCCAGCTATGCGATGACTGAGTGTTTACCCATAACTGCCCCGCCTCAAAGTAACAGTTTCAATCGTCCTGAAAGCTCAGGGTTGGCTGTGGGCCCAGAGCTGGCTATTTTCGACAGTCAACATCCGCAGCAGCGTGCCTCTACTGGCTCAGTAGGCCGAATCTGTGTGCGAGGCCTGCCCGTATTCCCGGGTTACCTTAACAGTGATGGGCTGGACCGGAATTCATTCAGCCCAGCAGGGTGGTTTGATACAGGCGATCTCGGACATATTGATGAGGACGGGTGGCTCTATATCACAGGACGGACAAAAGAAGTCATTAATCGCGGAGGAGAGACGATCTCTCCTGTGGAGGTCGAGGATGCAATCATGTCGGCTGCCAGAGACAAGTCTTCTAGTCTTTTCGGCCGTATCAAGGCAGCTCTGGCATTTCCTGCTCCCCATGATGTCCTTCAAGAGGTCGTCGGGGTGGCCGTTGTAATCCCAGCAGGCCACACAAGACCCGACCTTCGCCAACTGCACCAGGGCCTCAAGGAGCGTTTACACCAACCCAAATGGCCCGCTCTCTTGGTTTATATGAATGGCATTCCTAGATCAGGGAATAAACTGCGGCGCATCGGCCTAAGCCAACGACTGGGGTTGGAGACATTGACCGACCAAGTTCCCGCAGCCGAACGGCACTACGAGGCACTGTGCCCGCCGGTGGATACGCCTGTCAGCGAGCCCATTGCTCGAACGCGATGCGCGATAGATTTTCCTCTGGTCAAGACATATATCACACAGGCTTCTGGTCTGTTTAACCTAATACTGCGAACGCACGCCGACGGATACCCGCGAGCCATCCTCTTCCGAGACGGGACCGGAGGAGTGTCGCCCGAGGAGGTCCTCACCCGTCTCTCCCATCTCATGCATGGTTATCTCATCCCCAGCAGGCTGGAAATACTGGATGGCCCCATTCCGCGGGACACCCATGGGCTGATTGACGAAGCTGCTGTGCAAGCCACGCTGCGCGCCTTGCATGCAACAGCCACGTCGCCGACGCAGCAGCGGGTATCTGATCTTTTCGCGACCGCACTCAGGCGTGCCCCGGAAGATGTGACGCCTGCGACCGACTTTTTCGAGTCCGGCGGGGACAGTATGAGCGCGGGCCAGCTTATTTCCAAGATCCGACAGGAGTTCCGGGTGCCTGTTGCTGGGGATGTTCTGTTCCAGCACAGTACCGTGGGCGCTATTACGGCCACCATTGAGGCGGCAATTGCTGACACCAAGATACGTAAGAGCAGAAAGCAGGATCTTCCAGGATGTCGAGAGACATATAGCTCCACCCAGCGGTGGGTGTTATTATTGAATTTGGTGCCCTCCGTCATCCTCTACCCAATGCTGCAGGCCCTGCGTTGGACATTTCTGGTGTATATGCTCTCCGGGGTCTCGACGCGGTTTCCACTGCGCCCGAATCTCTTTGGACGGTTGCTTGGCCTCATACTGATGCGACTGACTGTTCAACTAGCGATGGAGATAATCTCCCCAATCATAGGGATCTCACTGAAATGGCTCGTTGTTGGTAGATACCGCGCAGGAATGTATCCAATGTGGGGACCGTACCATATGCGGTGGTGGTTGGCACAGAAAGCACTCCAAGTGTGCGGCAAGGTATGTCATCCATTTTATACTCTCCGTATCACCACGGCCAGCTGATAGAAGGGCACCAGGGGGTGTTTGACCGCTTTGACTTCAGCCGCATCTGGTACTACCGAGCTCTGGGAGCACACATTGGACGTAATGTCTACATCGACGAATTCACGGGCCTTGGGGAGTACGACCTCCTTCACATCGGCGACAATGTAGTACTAGAGCACTGTATCTGCCGTCCGTTTGCGAGTGAGCGGAACACCTCGATGTTGCTCCAACCCATCTCCATTGGAGCCAGCTCCTACATCGGCCTTAGGTCGACCGTGGTGCCTGGGACTACGCTGCCCCCAGGAACGTTTATCGGCGCCAACTCATCCACCTGGGAGATTGACGATGCCGATGAATCCAACCGCGACCAATCTTCTGCCAAGGCGCTGCAGCCCCACTGGATCTGGCACATCTTGGTTGTGGGATGGCTGGAGATCGTCGTCCGCTTCGTATCGGAACTACCGCGGATCGCAGGACTACTCCCCATCGTGAGTCGCTATCCAACGGTCGCGGACGACCAATTGCGACACACTATCTCTTGGCTCACCAGCCGTACTCGGATCGGCTACTTCCTTCTCATGCGGGTCTACTCCGCTCTTGCCGGACCTTTGACGTGGTTCCTAGCCGTGCTGGTCGTGAAGCGTGGACTGGATGCATGCTGTGGCCGGCCCCTTCGAGGCCCTATGAACCAATTGTCCCCTGCTCAGAAGGTACGACATGCAGCTCTCGACGCAATTGTTCCACAAGGGGATATTTCCCGCCTGGCGCGGCTCGTGGGACCAAACTACGAGCTGGTCTCAGTGGCGGTGCGGATGCTGGGTGGGCGGGTGGGAAAACGCGTATACTGGCCACGCACGAAGTTGAATCTAATCCCTGATTTTGACCAGTTAGACATTGGCAACGACGTGGTTTTCGGGTCCCGGTCCTTCCTGGTCACAGCGGATGGAATGGGGAGAGAACCTATTGTCATCGGGGATGGCACCATGCTGGGGGACCGATCCGTGGTGTTTCCGGGAGTCACCATTGGGACGTGCGCGATGGTGGGCTCAGGGGCATTGTTGCGGCGGAACGGCTTCTATCCAGATGACAGCGTCTGGACTGGTAGCAAGCATGGTGATGCCATTCGCTTCCCTCAACTCAAGGGAAAGAGAGATGCTGCTAAAGATCCCGACGGAAAGCGCGACACGACAAAGCCGTTTGGACGCGCCTTGTACCAGGGGAAGGCGAACTACCATGTGCTAGGTCTGGGACCCATTGTCGGGTTCTCCAGCTTCATGGTCGCCTTCACCGCGGTATATCCCATGGCGGTGCCGCTGGCGGCATTGTTGGTGGTGAACCGTCTTCTCCCAATGGAACTGATGGCATTTGGTATGCGATGGTGGCGTCCGTTCGCCGTGTACGGCGTACTAGCTGCAGTGATGGCGGCAGTGACGCTAGTTCAAGCGGTGGTGTCGTTGGGGATTGTCATCGCCGTCAAGTGGATACTCGTTGGACAGCGGACTGAAGGCTCATACCCCTACGACTGTAGCAGTTATTGCCAACGCTGGCAGATTATGCGCACTATTGACATCCTCCTTGAGGAGCCCTTTGGCGGGACGGGTATCCTGTCGTTACTCACCGGAACAGCGTATCTGAGCTGGTTTTACCGGGCCATGGGGGCGAAGATCGGGGCAGATTGTGCGTTGAATGCGAACGGTGATCCACACATCTTTTTCACAGAGCCGGACTTGGTGACGTTGGGAGATAGAGTCACGGTGGATGATGCTAGTCTGGTGTGCCATCTCAACACGCGGGGGGACTTCGAGTTGCATACGCTGCGTGTGGGCGATCGAAGTGTGATGCGCACGGGGTCTCGATTGTTGTCGGGGGCGTCGATGGGGAAGGATGCGTGTCTGCTGGAGCATACGCTGGTGTTGTCGGGGGATCATGTTGAGGATGGCACGACGTTGCAGGGCTGGCCGGCGGAGGAGTTTAGGGGGGATCGACTACGACCGTAAGCTATATACAATCTGCGCGGTGAGGAGTGCATATGTTACTTGCGAGCCGGTGGGATTTGGGTTGGGGGTAAATGGAAAGCTGTAAATATCCCTAGCATTTATCTTGAGACACTTCCTTGCAACTAACCGGCTCGCAAGAAATCTTCAGGGCGTACATGCTCAGAGTTCCGGTGGACTGGACAGGTCTGCATTCCAATATTATTTACCGAAGCAAGCTTTCCCATCGCGCGATTTATTACATACGCAGCGCTGCACTCCAAACTATTTCATCCGTCCAACACGAGACCATGCCTCCAAATCACTCATGAGAGCCGACCAACCCTCTGTCCCGAGTCATGTTCTTTGATCCTTCATACCCCAACAACAACCAGAGCAAGACAAGATAAAGCTGAGATACCCCCCTCAAAACATCCAACCCGGCACAATACGCTGCAACACACCACCTGCAGCAGCACCGGGGTGCGGCAGGTGGCCCAGCGGATGATCTGCGCACTTGCGCACATCCGCGGGGGTGACGCCTTCTGGGAGATCGCCTGGGTCAATTTTCATTACTCCGAGGGAGCCGCACTCTTCTTCGGCACTGATATCGGTGGATAGGGCGGTCGTGGCGTAGATGGTGAGGAGGAGGTAGGAGAGGAGTTTCATTTGGGTGCTTTTCTTCGAGGATGGTGGGATGAATTAGAAGGTATAGGATTTGCGAGGGTGGAGGCAGGATAGGAGCTGGTAAAAGTTTGGGAGAAGATATAAGTTGTATTATTTGGGTTTCCTCAGCTACTAGTGGCGTTAGGGTGAGAAGTCGCTTGTTGATTTATAAACTGGAGTTGCCAAGTGAACAGAAGACGTGGCCGGATTGCCCTTGTCCGTTGCCTGTTGTCTGTACTACCGGTTTCTTTGCTCTATGGGACTATGATAGATGCCTAGACTTGGTGGTCCGAGTGAACGGAAAATGCCAGTGATTCATCGAAAGTACCATGGTTGATTTGGTAGGTTTTGGCTTGGAGCTCCTTATCTACAGGGGTATGATTCCCGTGAATAAGTGAAACCAACACTTGGTGAGATTTGATTAGTTTATGAATGTCCACTTAGTGACTCTTGGCAGGGGCTGTACTATAAAATCATACCGTGACAATGATAAAACTAGGATAAATCTGGCCAACTTGCAAGTGGCTGATTGAGATTAACAATATGAAAGCTGAGGATTCGAGCAACTCCCAGCGATGAACGTTTGCGACATCCGCGGAATATCGGATTCGAAGATCTGTGCTGATGGGTCTAGGATACGGTCGATGATGTGCACCACCCCCTATAATGTCAATAATTATTAGAAGATTATTGTTCGATGGTCTTGCAAGGAAGCAATGAGTGCGTACACTGGTAACCGGGATATCCAATTCAACTACTCTTGCCACTTGATTGAGAACAACCGTTCCGTCTTGTACTTGCGAGCTCACGAAGAGGTAGGTGGCAGTCTAATCTCGATATCAGCTCTCTGCATTTTATCTGGATGGGTACGTGTATGTTCACCTGAAATCGCTGCAGAGTCTCATTGAAACTAGCTGATGTGAGCTCGGAGTTAGGCACATAGTGGTGGATGATGGTGTTTCCCAGCCACCATTTCCCTTTTCTAGGCGGATTTAGCGACAGCAACCCAAGTACAATAAGTCTGATCAGACATACGGAGTCGGCTCGAAGCTATCAAAGTATGCCCCGGTATATACTTTGAAGGCATTGTTATTCGGCGCAAAGAATGTAAATTTCCAATCTGGATCTGTGTCAAACGCTCGTGCAAATCCGCCAAGTTCATCGATCTTCTCAGACAGGATGCTCAAGTCGGACCGAGACTTGATGAAATCTAGAGCGGTCGTCGCATTCGAGGGGCTGGAGGCTACATAGCCGGGGATACTTCGGTAGTTCAGAGGGTCTATTGTGGCCGTTACTAGACTGCTCAAAGATAGGAGGACTAGTGCTGGGAAAGCTGAGAATTTCATGTTGGGACTGCCAAAATGTTGCTAAAACAGCTTCAGTATACGATGTATGGTGAGTTGGAAGAAAAGGGTTCATGATTCAGAACTCGGGCAACTTGTCCAGGGTTACTAGTAGTCGTTTGGCCGCTAGATCTCCCGGAGCATCTCCGCAACCCCATCCACCAAAACCGGCCAATGAGAATATATCACTCGGCTGATAAGTGCAGCTCTAATAGCTGGTAACTCTATTCTAGCTATCCTCTTTACTATGGCGGGGAACCCGGACAATTACCGGAGGTTACATAGTTAGCCACTGATGGAGAAACGAACCTGCTACAAATAGAACTTTGAAAATTGCCCCGTGGACGACTCCTCGGTTACCTCAGCACACAACTCGTCCAGTATAACCAGCAGCACAATGGGACGCAATTATCAACACTTATCATTCCGCTTGGCCGTCGTGGCGATTTTAACCTTCGTCCACTCCGTACTGGGAGGCAATAGCCTGGCACAAAAACCTCAGATGGGCTGGAACTCATGGAACGCATTCAAAGCGACGGTAAATTACACGATAGTCCAGGATGTCATTGAGCGCTTCTATACTCTTGGGCTTAAAGAAGCAGGGTACGAATACGTGCTGCTTGATGACGGATGGGCAAGCTACAATCGCACATCCGATGGGTATCTTCAAGCCAATGCAACGTCCTTTCCTCAGGGAATTAAGGCACTGGCTGAAGAGGTACATGCCGAGGGCTTAAAATTAGGCCTTTACGGAGACAGTGGGCATTACACATGTGCGTGGAGACCAGGAAGCTGGGGATATGAAGAAAGAGATGCCCAAACGTTCGCAGGTTGGGGCGTGGACTATCTCAAGTACGACAACTGTGGCGGATTCCAGTCGATGATGGAGGCCCCTCAGATCCGCTTTGGGGCAATGAAGAATGCGCTTGCTCTTTCGGGTCGAGATATCTTCTATTCTGTGTGTGGTTGGGGTTATCAGTTCCCTTGGCACTGGGGAGGAGGTGAGATACATCCCACAAACAAAACGATCTTCTACTTTGAGATACTCATTTAATCTTCCTGCAGACATCGGTCACTCATACAGAATGTCTGGCGACATCACGACAAGCTTCACCAATGAAACCGAGTGTCAGTGCAAGACCGCCTACTGTCTTAACACTGGATATGCCGGTTGCTCAGTCCTGACGATCATCAATAAAATGAAAGAAATCAGCCAATATCAGACTCAGGGTCACTGGTTAGATATGGATATGCTCGAAGTCGGAAATGCCAATTTCACACTTAACCAGCAACAGACACACTTTGCGTTCTGGGCGGCGCTGAAATCACCCTTGATCATTGGGGCTGATCTGAGCAAACTTTCCAATGATAGCTTAGGTGTGCTCACTAATACGGCAATTATTTCAGTCAATCAAGACGCTCTTGGAGAGCCTGTGACGTATAGGGAGGCTCACAGTAAGGAAGGCCTCTTTCAGGTATGGGCTGGAAATGTCGAGGCGGGATATGTTGTGCTTCTGTTGAATGAGAAGAGTTATCCGCAGACCGTGTCTCTGAGCTTTGCGAGTCTTGGGCTTGGCTCGCCTCAAAAGGTTGTTGAACTCTGGTCGGGAAAGACTTTGCAGGTTGCCAATACATTCAATGGAACTTTGGGGTCCTATCAAACTCTTGTTTTTAGAGTGCAGACATGACAATTTGAAGGAAGGTGTGGCTCTTATTCTCAATGTTCCAACTTTATTATCACCATTCTTACTATCTCCCCTATAGTGCCCCTTTATGTACCCATTTCTAACTTGCATCAACTAGACTTGTTTGTGCCTTAACGTTTGCTAGAAGGGCAATTCATCCGGGGGCGAACAGGACGTCACCGGATGGAGCACTCAAGTTGGAAAGCTTAGTTTGATGGCATGGTTGAAGATTAAGGGGGACTTACTATGCATTCCCTACGGGTGTTCCTTCTGCCGAATGCATCTCGGCAGGGTGCACCATGTGGAGGATATACCAGTGCTACTGATCATGACTGTGTGGGGGCATGCTCCACCTATGGTGCCGGAGTTGGGAGGTTCAGTAGGTCCAGATCCAGTCACTCTGCAAAAGGGGTGATTAGAATATCTGCAGAAACCAGCAACCCCGAAAGACGGCACATGCAAGGGGCAAAGCCGATGGCAACCAGGAACACGTACACCTGGTGTACGTCAACCACCGAGCTAGATATGATTGGAAGCAAAATCAAAGATAGGCCGTTAAGGTACCTCTACCGGCATACACCAAGCTTCTTCCGTATTGATTATGATTAGCGCGTGATACGCCAGCAAACACGTCAATTATGGGTGACAGATGTGAACATGAACCATCTCATGCTCCTGCAATCTGGGCTCGTAGTGATAAGAGTTCATTCCACAGCCCTTGTGTCGAGTGCGTTGCATGTTGGTAACTGAGTAGTCCAAGTGGGCTTGGCAAGATCCTTAGAATATCCAGTTGATGCTAAATCTTGAAATCTGCTTTTGTCTCTGGAAGGTGGACTGATTGTGGGTTGACAGGTTGCGCGGCCAGGTGGATCCCGTGCACGAAGGTTCGCAAACTCCCTCTCTTCTCGTTCGCCAGCACTCACACACGCGGAAAGGGTCTTTAGTGCCCCTGTACATACGTAAGTTACCCGCCGATCCTTCCCTGAAGACATGGACCCTGGATATTAACTGCAGGTGGGTCTGTCTTCCACTCCGCACGAAATACATTTTCTATATGCGATACACATCAGTAGAAGCAGACACTGGAACTGGGAGAGAACGAATCTGTTAGTCTAGTAAATATCTGATATTACTAGGGATCCTATGAGTGAGTTAATGAAGGTCGGAGACCAAACCGCCTTTCCTGTACGATTAGGGCCAGCGCGCCCTAACTCCCCATCAAGACTTGAGAGTAGCAACGAACCACTACCTACAGTTAAAAGTGGAAGCTCCTGATCAGTGATATATCGGAGTATGTCGATCCCTTTCCTGATTCAAACCTCTAATATAGCAAATCGAACATTTTGCTAAGGCATTTTGGGAAAATCTCCGGTGTCGGACACTCGCCGGCAACTACCCCGCCCGCCGACAGGAAGTTGATTGGCGCAGCGCAGGTCTCCATGTCAACTAAGCTCAACGGCAAAGAGGATGTTCCAGGAGTGGCATGACGAGTGCAAATTGCGGGGAAAAGAACGAATTCCCCATAGGGGCGTTCGGCTTTGAGGATGTGTAGTTCTGTATGTCAGACGTCCCTGTCTTCCTGGACAAAACATCCCTATCGTTAACCTCAATAATTTCAGCCCTGTCTACCCGATGACCGCAAAATCTCAACCCGCGATAACCAACACCAGCGCAGGAGACTTGCCGGAGACAGCTACCAAAGGAGAGGAGGAAATTCCAGCCTGCCAGTTTTGTCGCAAGAAAAAAGCCAAATGCAATCGAGCGCAGCCCTGTTCGCAATGTATGCGATCGGATGTCGTTTGCGTCTACGATGATCGACGAACTAAGCCCGGTCTCCGAGCTGGGGCGGTCGACCAGCTATATCGCCGCGTCGAGACGCTCGAGAATATGTTTCTGGGCCAGGAGATGCTCTGGCAGCAGATGTGGCAGTCTTTATTTCCGAACACTGAGCCCCCGCGATCCCTGGCCAAGGGAACCACGGCAGCCACGACCCTGGCAGAGCGTCGGGAGCAGCTGAAGGCCTCAGTACTAGACTCTGCAAATGTGGCGACAAAAAGAACGAGCACAGAAGCAAATACAGACGATTCTGCGCCACCAGAATGTGCTCCTCCCCATTCCAAACGCACCCGCGTGGAAAATTCGCTGGTTTACCATGCGGTTGCTCTACAATCCGAGTCTCGCGTGGCCAGCCCCTTACCTGATGCCGTCTTGACCGAACTCGTCGATTTTTACTTCACCAATATACATCCATGGATACCAATACTACACGTCAAGAAATTTCGCGAGCGGATGCGATCGCCGGAAGAACGAACGCATATAAATTGCATCTTACATGCCATTGTCTCTGTCTGTGCCCGCTTCTCACAAAACAAACAATATGGCGATACGTTGGATATGAAAGAGATCGCCAAGAAAAGTCGACAAGAGGTAATCTTGCAGAGCACCGAAACCTTCTCGGTCGAAAATCTACAGGCGCTGGTGATTGTCGCATTCGAAACAGTGAGCTAGGGGCCCACACTATGTCCCTAGAGAGAAGTAGACTGATTTACTTTCGAACAGATAAATCGCGGTCGCGGGCCCTCGTCATGGTCTATTATTGGCAGCATGGCAGGAACCGTAGAGCAACTTCAACTTGGAGTAGAAGAAGATGACCTATATCGCGTCAAGGGCATGGGGGAAAGACTAATCAGGCGCATGGTTTTTCTCACACCATCTCGGTCGTGGAGCGAAGCGGAGGAGCGGCGACGTGTGTTCTGGGCCGTCTTTCTTATGGACCGCTTCTGCAGCGTCTCTACAGGCTGGAAGATTAGTCTGAGAAATGCGGATGTGAAGCGCCGTCTTCCATGTGAAGGCGCTCTATGGGAGAAAGAGCAGGAAGTCTGCACCCCGTATTTTGGAATCTCTGATATCAAAAACACTAGCCTTTCTAATAGCCATTCTGCTACGATAGATGGCTGTGAGGAGCAGGCCATCGGCGCTTTTGCGTACATTATTGAGGCAACTGAATCACTGGCTCTCGTGACCAATTTCTATCTACACCACGCCTTTCTGATTAACGATGCCAGCAAGGCACGATTATGGCTGGTCAAATTCAAGGAACTAGATCTGCGACTGATTCAGTGCGCATTACCTCCTGTTCCTTCTTTGCCTTGATGCTGATGCGCGCAGATGGAAAATACACCTACCTCCTAAATGGCGCGAAGCCTGCGTCCTGAACGAACAGAGAGTCATGGATCCAAATCTGACTCTGGCACACATAACCCACAACACGGCGGTAATTCTGCTACACCAAGGCATTGCATATCCACCAGCGCACTGGCAGAAATGTCCCATTAAACTCCCGTCGGCATCCTCCGCCGATACGTGCTTGGAAGCAGCTTCAGAGATAGCAACTATTGCTGATCAATTCTTGTCCTTTTCTCCCATTTTCACGAACCCCCAGTTTTCTTTTTGTCTATTCATCGCCGGCCGCACACTCCTCGCACACGCTAGGCACAATAGGGTGCCACCATCCCCAGCTCTCAACACCTTGATTGGAAATCTGATGGAAATCTCACAGCGATGGACAAGACAGCATGACGGCAGTCAAGCCCCCCAGGAGGACAGCCTTGCCTTCAAATTCGCAACTAGACTGATCGAAGCCCAGCAGAACCGAGCCTGTGTATCTCGTCCAAGCCTGGATATTCGCACGACCGCCTATTCAGATGAGTCTAAGGAGGAGATGTACAAGGATCTCATGGGAACAAAACCGGATGATCCACCAGATTATGAGTCGCTTGGTGAACCATTACAACTGGCTCCGTTCCCTTCGCAGCAGTCTACTGGCTGCTCATTCGACCCATTCAGCCTAGCCTTCCCACCGCTGCCACCAGCCTTTCAGCAGGATTTCTCGCCGACTGGTCTAGATCCATTCTCTTTTTATAATATGCAACTGCCATCAGATTCTAGTATCTCTTCTCCGCTTGAAACCCGCAGTCACGAGTCAGGTTCCAGGCATGATTCGGAGAGTTCCATGAATAATCTCATGCCGACAGATATATCGCACCTCTTCGATGTGACATCTAGCCCAGGACAGCGGATTAGTTATTACGGCAATACGAGGGGCCTAACCAAGGACTCGGCAACCGACGGAATTGAGAACTAGACCAGTAACAAAACTGCATGATTGATCGTTTTGCGCTTTCACGTCGAACCTTTATATTCTAAGTCTAAATTCACACCCAAATGGGGAGTTGATGCTTGTGCCATGCTACCTTTTCTTAAAATCATCAACAAAGTCCATCTCAAGAAGCATGTTTCCAAAAAGCAAGAAATAATAATCAGCATATACAAGTCCGTGATTCGACCACCTCCGAGGAGCAAACTCATAATTATTGATCGTCGCTCCCGTCAGGATGGTTTCAGAGACGTTCCCGTCGCTAACCTTTATTGCTTCAAAGGCTTTGCAAGTCTCAGTCTGATGGGTCGAACACTGGTCAGCGTAGATGGGCACCTCCAACGAAGGGCCAGTTTCGAAACGCATAGGTTGATTTAGATACCCTCCGACCGTACAATCAACCAGCGTCATCGCGGCCCGAAGGTAGTAATTAGCTGCGTCAGTATCTTGCAACTTCTTATATGCCTTACAAAGCAACAGCATTCCACAAGCGGCGATCATGGCAGCAGAAGTATCCCGTGGTGAGGTGTCATTAACAGGTGCATCGAAATCCCAATACGGGACGCCATCATCCGGCAATCTCCCAAGAAATACATCCGCCAGCGCTCTAGCAGTGCGAAGGAATTCCGTCTCCTGTGTCCACCCGAAGGTCTGCACAAACCCCAGAATCCCCCATGCCTGGCCCCGTGCCCAGCAGCTACTATCACTGTATCCCTGGTTCGTGAACTTCGACTTGACTGCTCCGGTTTTGGGATCCAGATTGACCACGTGGAAGGTCGTACGGTCATCTCGGATGTGATGCTTCTGCGTGGTGATTGCATGCGCCCTAGCTATGTCATATAGCCTCGGACAATCTGTTTCCCTCGCCACCCAGAACAGCATATCCAGATTCAACATGTTATCGATAATAACTAGAAAGTCCTGCGACGGGTCTTTGTATGCATAGCGCTTCGTGATACACTGATCCCAGCTACGGATACACTGGGTTGATTCGCTGAAGCGGCTAGCAAGGGAGTGGGCTGCTAGTACGAGGGTGTTGTATGCTGCTGGGTCTCGATGCAGGGTCCACGCTTTCATCGCCCAGGGGGTGACCATGAAGCCTAGGTCATGGGTATCCTTACGAAGGGCATTTTGGTGCAGGTTGGCTGTCCACCAGCGGCAGAGGTACTCGTGTTGGAGGGGATGGGGGCGGAGAACAGACTCGCTGTTTGCTTGCGTGATTTGGGGAGCAGGATTCCGGTCGCGGAAGAGGGTGCTTCGCTCTAGAAGAAGATATAAAGAGCCTGGGAAGAACCCGGATGTCCAGAAGTCGAGGGTTCGGTAGATGTATGTAGTTTTGTCTTCGCCAGTGTATTCGGGGTATAAAGTTGGAGGTTTTGTCTATTTCTGTTAATAATTATTTTCGGGCTTACTGGCAGGTATTATAATGGCTTGAAGATTATATCACTTACACTACCCATCGCCTTGCTTGCGACGAACCAGACCTTTGCTAGGACGGATTCTGAATAGAGGGCTTCGAGTACTCGCGTCCACTGCTTGGATGGGAATACTTCGGAGCCGGTGCCGTTGACGGTCGCTGGGGGTCCTGCTTCGATAGACATTGTTCTTAGTTTGTCAAAGGACCGATGCTGGGTTAGGAGAAGTTAATCGAATACTAAATACGCAATAAGAGGCTTGTTAAGACCTGCTTGTTTTTCTCTACAAGAATTCGTTCTCCATTTGTGGCAGTATGCATTCGCAGTCGGAACAGGGTCCGGGAATTCCTCCGCGCAAGAAGTCCATGCCAAAATCCCGTGGATAGGCATTTCGGGCTATCTCCCGGAGGCCCTCCGACGAGCCTACGAGACACACGTTACAGCTAAGCCTTCCCCACCATGCAAGCTCTTTCTCACACTGAGTCCGGGGATACAAATCCATACATTGATAACCTTCTCTGAAGTTCAATTTGCCTAACTCCACAACCCCACAATCCCCAGATTCCACAATGGCATCCAAAATCTCCGATATAGACACCACAACAGCCGATCACCTCGAATCGACCGAGAAGAAAGACCCGTATGCAGCAGACCCAGGCATTGAGATCGACGAGGCAACAGATAAACGACTGTTTTGGATGATCACTCGTCGTATTTTGGTCATTCAGATTGTTACCTATTTCTTCCAGTCACTTGACAAGGGCATTTTGAATTATGCCTCTATTATGGGTATTAAGGACGATGCACATCTGGTCGGACAAGAGGTATACACCAACCATTATTAGCTCATAATTTACCTTTGATGTTGATTTAATATTCATTTAGTATTCCCTACTAGGCACGATTCTGTATATCGGCATTCTTGTGGGCGAATATCCCCAGAATCTACTGTTGCAGAAGTTTCCAGTTGCCAAGATGCTCTCTGTCAATGTATTTATTTGGGGTGCGATCGTGGCATGCTCGGCTGCATCTACACGTTTTGGATCGTTGATGGCGGTCCGGTTTCTGTTGGGGTTCTTTGAGAGCTGTATCCAGCCTGCGATGATGCTCATGTGAGTGTCTTTCCGGTCTCTGGATTCAGTGAGTCTTGCTGCTGACTTTAATGCTAGAACAGCCATGTGGTATAAGCGAGAAGAGCAGTCTGTGTTGAACTCAATCTGGTATTGCATGACTGGAGTGCAATTGATGGTATGTCATTACTCCTCTCGCTCTGCCATTGAAGATGCAGCTCACATAATTACCCACAACAGATCGGTGGTCTACTCGCCTTCGGAACCTCCCAGTACGTAGGGGGAGTGATAAAGAACTGGCAATTGCTCTTCCTCGCTCTCGGATGTGCTACATGCGTGTGGTCGTTTTTTATTGGCTTCTTCCTTCCAGACAGCCCTCTCTCAGCAAAGTGCTACAGCGAAGAAGACAAGAAATTGATGGTAGAGCGGGTACGACACAACGAGACGGGAATTGAGAACCGCGAATTTAAAAGATATCAAGTCATCGAAACGATCCAGGACCCTATCGTCTGGTGCTGCGTGATGCTCATTCTCGTGGCCAACTTGATCATCGGTGGCCTAGGCGTCTTCTCTAACCTGATCATCGAGCAGTTCGGCTTCTCACTGCTCCAGACAGAGCTGTTGAATATCGCCCAAGGCTCATGGACAATCATTGTGATGGTCGGGTCTGCGTGGTGCTCACAGCGGTTCCAACAGACGTGTTTAACCATGATAGTAAGCTTTATCTTTGGCCACCAACTCACCACCAAAAGCTAACCAAATACTAGCTATGGACCATCCCAGCGATCGTCGGTACCATCGTCATCCTCGTCGTAACACCCACAGCATCCAACGCCGGCGGCATGCTGATCGCCTTCTACTGCACGCAGTTCTTCCTCGCCGAAGGCAACATGATCATATCCCTGATCACCCGCAACACAGCCGGTCAGACTAAGAAAAGTCTCACCATGACATTCCTTTTTGTTGGTTGGGCGGTGGGAAATCTCATCGCGCCGCAGATCTTCCAGAGTTCTGACGCTCCGCGATACTTGCACGGCTTTCTGGCGCATATTGTGATTTATGCTGTGTTTATTGCCCTGACAGTCCTGACAAGGGTGATCTTGATGAGAAGGAATAAGGCGAAGGAGGGTGAAAGCAGTGATGTCTCGCATGAGTTGGCGTTTCAGGATTTGACGGATAGGGAGAATCCGAATTTTCGGTATGTTTATTAGGTCGCGGTTCAATCGTTGTGGATATGGGAATGTATAGTCAGCTAGTAGCTAGTTAGTGAGTAACGGATCCGGAATATGTCACAATAACTGTATGATCATACAACTCATAAAATTTATCCCAGACATGAGTGCCGAATCGAACCGACGTTCTTGAGTTCTATCATTACTATAGTTAACAAAATACCCTCTGTCTTGTTCAAGGTCCATATAGAGCTATGCCATTTAGTAACCACTTCTTTCAATTCCATTCTTTATATACATGCAGAGCAGATACATTCATCGAGATTCCTTCTACTTCTCTGCAACCGCAAAAAGCAAATCCGCCCAACTGAACGGATCAACCGGCGATGCCTGGCTCTTCACAGAAGCATCATAAACGTCCTTCACGCGCGAAGTCCAAGGCACATTAACCCCCCTCTCTAAAGCTTCATAATAGAGTAGACCCCAAGCAGCCGGATTCGTCTTTCCATCCTGATATCCAATATACCGATTCACCGCGGAAATGTTCGCCCAAGGACCATCCACCAAAACCACCTCACACCGATAAAAGCTCGCATCATACGGCACTGTCTGATTCATGAGGTATTTCCCTGCATACTCTGCCGCGGTGAAGATAAGATTATCCTCCAAAGCGAACAAGTCATAGTCCTGGTTAGCCACAACCCTCGCAGCAAGTGCCGTCCATTGCAGCGCATCCTGTACATGGGACTGATCGCGGCCCGCTTCGGAGTTCTGGCCTGTAGAAGCTAGATAATTATAAGGCACTCCGGCACAGCGATCATACTTGTATGTGTATAAGGCATAATTGTATAGAGCCACGTCGTCCAAGTAGACTGCGAAATTGAGCAAGCCCATGATACTCGCCATGCCGTAGTTGGCTTGTCCGATTATGATGCTCTGTCGGGCGAAGAGCCAGTAGAGCTGGACGCTAAACCCTGAGCCACCTTTGTATGTCGCGCCTTGCTCGACCCAGCCGCCTTCCCAGCGCATGATCTCGGCTGCGTTGGCGAAGATAGAGCCTTCGATGCCGATAAGGAGGGATCGGTCTGTGCCGATTATGTTCTCGAGATCGGAGCCCCAGGCGTCGAGGATCGTGGTGGAGCGGTTCCAGTGGCTTTGGTTGCGGGTGATGTACCCTTTATTATTACAGATTATTAGCCCTTCAGTGCTCTCTAGTCATGTTTGAGGGACTTACACATAATGGCATTCTGGTATGCAGCACGAGAATCATCATGGAAACTAGTATAGTTGCTTATCTGCCCACGACTGATCACAGGATACGGGCCTTGCATTTCATAGGAGGCGTTGGAGTAGGGATCTTGAGCAAATCGGGTGTAGGCAGATGCCCAAGGCTCGACACCGTTGAGGACATTTGTTCGCATGAGCTCGAGTTGATCGTGGCTATGCCAAAGGCCTGGATGTTGGAACTGATTCGTTCTGTTTTTGGAGCCGGGTGTGTCGGGGACCATCATTACGGGCCCTGGTGTGGATAAGCATGTTAGTGGGGATGTTGAGGGTCAACTTCTAGCTCGTACCATTTAGACTTGGGACATCTTGGACCAGTCCGTGGACGTGAGTAGCGGTGGCCACCGCAAGGCATAGCTTGAGAATATGCATGATCGGATTGTTTGATAGTGGTGAGGTTGTAGTCTTGATGGTGGCATGTTATTCATATTACTAGCTTTGATCTCATGATCAAAGATTAGATTATACCTCGGGCTAAGTGCCGGACAGGGACCGATTTTCTGATTAAGTTAAGGAATATAGTCATTATCTATGCGGGGAACAGCCGGAAAATGCGCCGGTGTGCATTGATTAAGTGGCATACGCGTTCTTCCCGACAAGACGGAAGGAAGTGGATCTGTTGGGGAGCAGGAAGAACGGCTGCTTCATTTGCCGATGCCCCTGAAGGATAAGCACAAAACAACCCTACTTTAATATAGATATCAAACTCAATTGATTCAGGGTAGTAAATACAAAGCATATAAAGTAGCCTGTATCACCAGAACATTCTCCCTTCTCAATATCCTCCCAAGCTTCACAACAACTCAACATGATGTCCATTCTTTCACTCCTCTCCCTCCCTCTCTTCCACCACCTCGCCTCCGCAGGCACCATCTACCACAGCAACTTCACCTCCGGACTATCCCCCTTCTCCGCCTGCAATGTAGAATCCCCATCCTACTCCACCGCCACAGACGGCAACCTTACCGTCTACTTCGATGAGTCCTACTACGACGGCACGCGCAACCGCAAAGGCGCCGAGATCTGCGTCTTTGAGAACGACACCACCACCAATGTGGCCCAAATGACCAAGGAAGGCTGGCAGGGCTTCTCTATCTATGTGCCCTCGGACACCTACCCGACGGACAAGAGCGCCATCATCGCCCAGCAGTTCTGCCCCGGCGGGTGCTCCTCGTGGTGTGGCACCGTCGAGATTGTGAACAATACTCTGCAGACTACGCACCGTGCTGCTTGCTCTACTGGCACTACGGCGACGATTGTGGATGATATTGAGAGAGATGCGTGGCATAGTGTTGTTGTGCATATGCGCGTGTCAGAGGAAAGTGATGGCGCTTATGAGGTTTGGTGGAACGGGGAGCAGGTTTACAGTGTGTCGGATATTGATGTGGGATTTGGGACTTGGGATGATGATGATGCGTTGACTACCGGGTGGTATTTCAAGAATGGGGAGTACTGTTTTGGTGAGTTGTTTGATCGGATGAAATAGGGTTGTGGTCGTCACTCATGCTAACTGGATTTGCTAGATACCGACGCCTACACTGATGTGACTAGAACTTTGTACTTTGATAACGTAACTTGGTATGAGACTGATGATGGCAGCGATGATGGGTATGAGACGGTTTATCCTTGATTGTGATTTATCTGGAGGAACGTGTAAAGTATTGCTGTGTGGTTGTGGTTTTGCTGCAATGAATGGGTATTTGAGATAAAGCTGTATTAGTGAGTTGCCATAATAATGAGAAAGTATTCTCTTAAAAATCAAACTGTACTGAAGCAGAATTTACTTACCACTTGTGCTCTGTTACGGCATTGGCCAAGCAAGATGCTTCATTGGGTGGAAAAGTGGAGCCCAGCGCACTGACATCGATCTTCATACTCGTAGCCACCTTGTGGCATCTGCAATATCTTGTCCTCTTCCCATTTGGGAATCTGTGCCCTATAACCTGTGGCCTTGCTAATTACTTCTTCTAAACCAACTTCGAGAGCACGATGAGTGAAACAAAATTTTCGCTTATCATAAACGCCCCGCACTACGGCCTTGGCGAAGAAGAATTAGGTGAGATCCCTGCACTTTTCATGGTTTGCATCTGAGACATTTTAGCTTGTGCTTAAAGTGGCGATTTATATTAGATTCTTATGTCCCTCGTCCGCGCTTACTTTTGCAATATGTCTTTATTTTCTTTCAATGAGCAAACATGTCATCTACGGAGTGATATCCGCTCGGCTTCAACCCGGTCAAGACCCTCTGGTGAAAGAATGGATAGGCATCTTTCTCATCTTCTTCACTGTTTTCGCTTTCCTCCTTGCAACTTCCTGGGTGAGTCAATAGTAGTACCAGAATAGACAAGTACTATACTAATAAAAGAGAACAGGTCGCCTACACCTCCCAAGTCATCGGAGCCCTAGCTGCAATCGAAGACCCTAACTCCAACCCACCCCCCTACATCCGTCTTGACAACCAAGCCACTAATCGCAATGATCCCGAACTCACCACCACCCCAACCCCAAAACCAGTAACCAGCGATCTTCGTACATCCATCAACTACCTCTTCAGCCTCGGCGACGGCGGTATTTTCTCCACCTTCCGCGGATTCCGCATGTATTCCGCCTTCATCTCGCTAGATATGGTCTTAGCCCTCTTAATACCCGCCTTCATCCCCGTCCCCATGCACATGACCCTCGCCTCATTTCTAGCCAACTTTATGGGCAGAATGTTCCTCGCTACATGGCAAATGGCATGGGTGCATGTAGTCATCGCAGATAAATCGCCTTTCGTCGGCTATCGACGCATGCTAGGGTATCAGCATTGGAAACGGATTGCTCCTGCTGCCGTACTGCATAGTGCCGTCATGTCTATGACTTCCTCGCTGAACTTGGCTGTCTCCAGGGCTGTTGGGTGGGTTATTGTGGGTATTCTTGGTGAGAAGGGATCGAATGGTGAAAAGGGAGAAGGGGGAATTGGTGTTGTTTTCTGGTTTATGTTCTTTTTCTTACTCACTGTACCTGTTAATGCGATATTCACTCGTGTGGCGGCTTCGATGTTGCCTGAGGGGCTTGATCCCATTGTGCCGTTTGATCGGCGGTTTGGTGGTAAGGTGAAAATGGGGGGTAGGGATGCGAGATTGGGTATTGTGGATGCGTGGAGGACATTTGAGTGGTCTGCGAGGGTTCAGTATTTTAAGATTGTTTTTCAGGCGATTGCTATTGAGATTGTGCTGGGTGTGGTTGGGGGGTTGCTGGTTTTTGGAGAGTTGAAGTGGTTGCTTTACTCTCACTGATCACCATGTCTCTGTTTATATTCTAATGTGTGGGTTGAACTCTTATAATGAAAAGGAACATCACCAGAACTGATACAGCGCAATGTAAAGAATATAAGTGATGCTTTGCATTTCTATAACCTCGACTAGATGTAGATTACGTCAAATGATGTGTTACTGGAAGGTATATGTGGCGGGAGTTTTACCTATTGGAACGTGTGATTGTTTGAAGCCTTGTGCTGTGCTTTCAAACGGAGCAAGAAGGAAAGAGATATGAATAACTTTAATTACTTATCTTTCTTTCCTACAGTCATTAATAAGAGAAAAGCTACTGAGCACTTATATGACCCCAATGTGCATTCCTATCTCGTCTAGCCTGCAAATCATGAATCCTGTTTAGGATATTAAGCCTTCGCTTGACCGTAGTACACAGCTTCCACGTATTTGGTTTCTTCTACACCAAGTGCGCCACTTTCATATTGCTGCCCCATCGCCCTCTGCAGATCAGCAAATGTGTCCCTCGCGTATGCTTTGACTTGCTTGGCATGTTCGTCATCTGCATCGTCGTCGTCGAATAAACCACCTTCAGCCTCATCATCGCCATTGATTTCCACTGCTGGAATCGCTGTCATCATCTGTACTCTCACGCCTCGGTCTGCTCTGACGACCCCGATGCAATACTTCAAGTACATCCACAATCTCAACGTGTCCCACATCTAGGACAACCATGGCTCCTGCTGCGAGTAGAATTCGGACAATGTCCCTCAACTCAACGTAGCCATACCGGCCCACAGTGACTGTTTTCCTCACATAAAGCGCCACAGCATCCAATGCTGTATGATTATTACGATTATTGCTAGACAGGAAAGGTGTATTGACTCAAACCCTTCGACCTCGAGAAAATATTGGACACATTGGACATCTGCAAAGCCCGCGGCCATCGAGAAATGTTCGTAATGACCGGCCCGGATGGACACACTCACATTGGCTTGCTGGGCTTTTACCAATACCCCGCTGCCTCTGTGTCAGCGGAACCGATTAATGGAACAATACGTCTCAGGGTCATGCCATAAGCCCCGGGCTACTGAACCAGACTAATATCCGCTCCGCTCTGTTTCACTAAAAATTTTACGCCCTCCAACCAGTTCCTATCCGCTGCAGTGATCAGTGCACAACCCCAGATATCGTATCGAAAATGTATGTTTATGTCTGCGTGGGCTTCGCAGGTCAAGAAACGCAACATATCGGAGTCTTCTCTCTAGGTTGCCGCTCTTAATGCGCAATCGCTCCCTATTTTGAAACAAACATCCACTTCCTTATCTTCCAATAATAATCTGACCATGCCAATATGTCCACCAGAGACAGCCTCGATCAGTGGTGTGGAAGGATAGAATTTGCCTTGTAGGCCAAGAGTGCCACCTTTCGCCAGAAGAATATGCATAATCGGGGTATGGCCAGTCATTGCAGCTAGAAGCATGCAGGTATCACCCCGATCATTAGTACAGGTCACATCTAGCTCGCCCATATTCCACCATCAGTCCGATACTGAGAGTCCGTTTCGACGCACGGTCAGAACAGAGTATTCGACAGGCCATAATCTTTTATCAAAGCACCGGGCCCAAGCCCGGTATCGCGCGCTGCTATCCTGCGGAGCACCGAGAAAATTCTCCAGGAGTTCCATAACAAAAGACAGGTCCTTTGCCGGAACGCTGGCAGGGTCTAACGTAGTAATATGTTCCGGCCAAAAACAGAAGACGTAGTAGAGAAATGGTCATGTGAAGTAGGATTTTGCAGGCCTGTAGCGATCACCTTTGGCATCAGGATTGAACATGGTCTCCTTCCAACAGGTATCGCTCATCATAAATAGCAAACACGCTTTACCGACCATCGAGTCGGTGACTGCAGTAGTCCAGCTGCGACGTAGCTCGAAATACTCTGCGACCGATATCTTTGATATTCTCTATACGTCCCGCTCACAATCGATAATCAGCAAATTGCGACGCAATGCCAACAATGCATCGTCGCCAATCGGGTTACACAACTCTGTCGTTTTACTGTCAGGGTTAATGCGGACTGCCTCGAGAAGCTCTTCTCATGAAAGCGGTTCTCGTGCGGTGAGAACCCACTTCAAAGCGCGTAGCGCCAGATATCGGTCGTGAGGTTGGCTTTCCTCTATTCTTTCCAAGAGAATTTTATACGTATCTTCGAGTGTTCTCGGAAGGGTCTGAAGACACTCCAATATAGCTTCAGAAGACACGCATCTTTCGGGCTGTTTGGCACCAGCTGCAGACATTGCTTTTTCTGGGAAATTTCGTCCTCATACCAGGGGTGGCTGTCTGGTGACGTGTCACTCTTAGGCATCTATCCAAATAGCATCCATCATCGAGGTAGTGCTTTCCACATTTCCTATCACGTTGTCAAGAACACCAGCATAACACGAGATGGAGTTGATGAGCTCAGGCTCGACTATTTTGAAGAACCCAATGCCAGCCTCTATAGAGGCAATCGACCGGCAGTGAAGATACAGAATGCATAGATGGGGTGGTTGGTGGATAAAGGAGGTGAACTGTACACAAGTAATTACCCTGCACGGAGAATCCCCCTCCATAACACACATTCCGAGTAAAGTGAGAAACCAGAATAGTTAGAGATACGCTCATGAGACAAGGATCTCCAGTCTATCTACAAGATAGCAAATGTTCACAAAGACGGGAATTCTCTTGCTGGTGGAACATTTACTCCGGGATAAGGTAACGTCGACATGTGTGCAAGGCGGGAAGTTCTTGCTTGGAAGTACAGAGTATGAGTTTTAAACTTGATCTCGGTTTCCCTTGGTGGTTTTGATACCTCATAAGATGATAATGTCTGACTGAGTAGATTTCAGACCGCGGTCAAAGCACGGGCCGCGACCGCGGCGCACTAAACCAGATTAGGACATCCGCCCAACCTCGAGCGCGCAAAGATCGCTGGTGCAAACACCGCGGAGCAATAGGTTGCTACTGCGACAGTTCCAGCTCACACCCTCCGACTGTCCAGAATGCCGCCCTTCAGAGATGAGCATATCTTGGTACGTGCAGATTTCTCCTAGCGCACTAATCATTGATTTACCCCCTACTGGCGGACTCCAACTGACCCCCTCCTCCCCAGATAATTGCGCCAGGCTCGCAAGTGACCCTGGCGCAACTGGGTCTCCCAGAGTCATTCACCCCTGCCCGATTTCGCTTCCCTACGCGCATGTTTCCCGCCGAGAAGAAGGGCGAATACGAACCGTACAAGATCCGCGAGCGACGACAGGAAGTTCCCGTCAGCAATGGCAATGGCACCGACGCGCCCAAGGAGGACGTGGAGATGAAGGATGCGGAATCGGCACAGCAAGACGGAGCCGTGAAGACCGAGAATGAATCCTCCGAACAGCCCGAAAATGCGCAAAAGACCGAGGGCCAGGATGCCAACGGAGAGGAGAAGCAGGAAACGACAACCGAGATCTTCTACGAGGAGGACGTAACCTCCGATGAGGGGGCTGTCTATCCAATTCAGAGTGGTCGCATTGTCGACTGGCCATGCTTCTTTGCCCTTTTGACGCACGTTTACAACACGCTGAGCCCGCCATTCCACACCCCGATCATGCTGATCTCTGAACCGGCATGGTCCGCCCGCGACCGGGAGACGATCACACAGTTTGTCTTTGAGAAGTTCAAGACACCCGCCTTCTGCCTTATGGACTCCGCTCTCGCTGTATGCTACGGATACGGTACCTCGACAGCCACGGTGGTTGATGTTGGCAAGGACAAAGTCAATGTCACTGCCGTCACTGACTTCCTTGTTAACGAGCATGGAAGAGGTATCGCGCTGGAAGGCTGTGGTGGTGACTACATGACGGATAGGATTGTGGAGCTTTTGGGCCCGAAGGGATTTACAAGGGAGATGTGCGAACAGTTGAAGCGCAGCAATATCACTGAGCTCTTGCCTCCGGGCACACCTCTTCCTGGCGCCGCTGCAACCGCGCGACAGGGCGCTAACCCAGCCGCTTCGGCCTCAACTGGAACCAAGGATGGCAATGCACCGAATGAAAACATCCCCCGCGGTCCGGGTGAAGGCACCCAGACCGGTGGTGAAGGCAACGGCGAGGCCGACGAGGATGAGGGAGTTTTGGATGTCGCAGCCATTGTCAGTGGTAACACGAGTGAGTTCCTCGCCAATCGGGAGAAAGAGAAGGCCGAGAAGGCCTCAACCAAGAAGGGCGCGACAGATCAATCCGGCAAGCCCCTCCGTCTCCCGAACTCCAAGAAAGAAAAGGCTTCATTCCAATTTGAGGAGTACGTGAGGATAGAACCTGAGAAGGATACGCCCAATGGGCCCGGGCGGTATATGCGTCAGTCTCGCGAGATCGAGGTCGGTGTTGAGCGCTTCCTCGCCGCAACTCCCAAGCAAAATTCTGGAGACCGTCTCACCGGCGGCCTGCTCGAGGATATTGCGACTCAGATCCACCACACTATCCTTGCAGTGCCTGATGCGACGAAGCGGAGTGAACTCTGGGACTCACTCATCGTAGTCGGCAATGGCAGCAAAATAAAGGGTATGTAGCCGGACCATATCACCATGAGGATATTGATTGACCTTTACTCCTAGGCTTCACACAATCCCTGCTGGGCACCATCACACAGAAGTACATTCTCTCCCCATCCGCCACTATGTTCACCTCCGAAATTCCCTCCAACTTCTCTACTCCCCTTCCCACCGGAGGAACCAACACTCCGGCACCTTCCGGCCAGGCTGGTCCGATGAATCACCCTGCGGGTCACGGTGTGAATCCTCTGCTTGTCGCAGCCACCCATGCCAACAATCCCATGCCCGGCACCCCCTCCATGGACCCCGCCATGTCGCATCACCGCTCGACGGGACATTCTCAAACCCCCACATCGGTCAAGACTTTGAGACCCCCGGAATACTTCCCCGAGTGGAAGGAGCAGAGCAACACCAATGCCCCTGGTGCTGCTACCACGGGAGGGCCTGGTGCCCCAAGCGGTGGCCACGGCATGGAGGAAGCCGTGTTCCTCGGAGCACAGGTTGCATCGAAGGTTGTTTTCGTGATCGACCAAGGCGTCAGCAAGGGCTTTATGAGCCGAGTGGAGTACAACGAGAATGGCCCTTCCGCGATCCATGAGTACACCATGTGATCACCTCTAATGATTGGCTTACGTGCCTGGGGATTGATACGCGTGTTTGTTCACATATGAAAGCGGATTCTTTTTATTTAAGGACCTGGTCCTGGTTCCTTTTTATGCTTCAAATTTACGGTTAATTATTTATTTTGTTCAGCTCTCTTTCGTGGATCTTGTATTCTACGTGATGGCGTCTTTCACTAGAAAAGCAAGTCTGACTCGGATGCTAGGATAGGTGGAGTCTGGTCGGATAGTACTTGAATAGTATTCGTGCAATGAATTGATGTAGTTCCTTTGGCAGGCAGTCGGCGTCATAAGCCTAGAGAGTGCTACTGGTGCTTACTTGTGGCCGACCACGTATGCTCTGTTAATTATGTGTGAGAAGTACGTAACAGCAAGACTAAATTCTCTACCCACTATCTATTGCACTTATACAACAGACACAAACTACTACTTTACAACAAACATAACCCACCGAGATAGAAAACCCGCCCAGAACCCCACTCCACATCGCCCTGATTTGGCGCATAGATGTTCTACCGAAGCCTTAGAGACACGTGGATTCTCAAAGTTGAGGGCTTCGAGGCCCAAAAGTGCCGACGGCGTTCGAAAAATAATGATATGTTCCCAATCGGGAATTTGCGGGTATCTCGGAAAGAGGTTCCGAACGGTTTTCAAGGTGTTGATGAAAGATGCATATGGTCAACTAAGCGAGGAACGTGTAAGTACGAGGAAGTAAGTACCTTGGGAATAAACCAGTCTACTGCATTTATACATATCAAACCCATGACTTCTCACAAGGTATACCTCCACAGCCTGTACATCAACCCCATCCCCAATCATTTCTCTTACCCCAAAAAAACATCCACCTCAATCTCCAAATTCTGCCCTTCAAACGGCAACGCCTCAATCCCCAACATAGTCCAAGTAGGCTGATGATCGGGACACCACTTCTTAACATTCGCCACCATCAGGTTGATAATCTTCTCTCGGGTCTGGGGCAACTGGACATGGTACGTGCGGATCTTCACGACGCGGTCCCAGCCGGATTTCACGCTAGCGCGTAGATCTGGCTTGGCTTTTTCTAGTGTGTAGAGGATGACTTCGTTAATGTTGGTGAATGCTTGGGCGACTTCTTCTTCGAGTGTGGGGGGCACTTCGGTGGATGTGGGGGACATGCCGGCTGATTTCCGAGGGAGGGGGGAATAGTTAGTTGGTGATGAGAGGAATGGAATGGGGCTGGGGGAGAGGGCTCACTCTGGCCGGCTATTTCCATTCGGTCTCCGGCTATGCATGCTTCGGCGAAGCCGTAGGCTTCTTGGAAGTGTTGGCCGCGGCCGGGGCGGGAGTAGCTGGGGATTGGGGGCATGATGGTGGTGAGGTTGGTTTGTGGATGTATGGGGGTGGAGGAAATGTGGAAGGTAAAATGCTTTGTTTGGAGAGGGGTCATGGCTATTTATGTTGTGTTATGCCTGGAAGTGTCATTTATCGATCTTGTCGCTATCAACGCTAGTTGCAGTAGTGCTTACTAGCTGTCAGGGGTCCTTCGTAGAATTGATAATCAGTAGCCGCTCAGACATGCAATGTAGCGTGGAAGCGTTGATCATCGAATGTTAAAGCATAACCTTTTTTCTCGTAACCACATAAACATCTATAATGTTGAGCACCTCACTCCTCGCCAGATAGTTCCATCGGTAATTCCGGCGTAGTGTTGAATGCTTTCAAGCCTGTCTCTCCCGTGCCACTATCCTCTCCACGTGTAGCAAGCTCCGACAAGGGGACATCTTCCTGTGGCACGTAAACTGACGAAGACATGCCGACATAGCTGCTCCGGTAGCGCTGTGGGTTCTTGGTGCGGCGGTAGATGATTGCGAAAGCTGGAAGACAGCCGACGATGACAGCTAGCAATAAAGGTTAGCATAGCAGAGAGAATGAGAGGGAGAACCATACCTATCCCCGCCTCGATCATGCCCCAGAATGCCAGCCAGGAACTACTTGGGGTGCTGTCGTTGTTGGCGCGAGTACCGATTTGGATGACTCGTACAACTGCCATGATCACGCAGATGGTGCCCAAGGCAAACACGGCAGCGACACTGATCTTCTGGCCCAGCGGAAGGTGCAGCGACACCACCAGTCGCAATGGCAGCACCATGACTTATTCACTTCAGTCATTCATACACCTTCATAATACTTCGAAACAGAAACTTACTCATTATATCGCTGATAGCGTCGACCGCAAAACTATAATACAAACTGGCAATCTCTGCCACGGCGTCTCGATGTGTACTGCACTCCCCTTCGCAGCTGTCAGTATCCACACATGCAGGGGACACGGAGCACTGACCAACGGTGAACCATGCATGCATACTTTGACATGAGGTAAAATTGGATACAATTGCCCCGATAAAGGTCCACACAGCTGTCAGCTGAACGTTTTCCCGCAATAGGTCAATTTATGGACGCACCACGATGCAAAAACACAATACCGCATACCACCATTTCATCTCACCCGGCAGGTCTTGGAGAAGTCGGCGATAGAGAAACAGAAAGTATAGTTTGACGGACCACAGCGACCCCCATAATAGCATGGTGTTCGCAAAAAAGACCTTGATCATGAAAAGGGCGTCGGACAGCATAGTCGCCCAAGGACCGATCTTGCCATCCGTATACGCATCGATTTTGTACATAACCGGGGTGACGATAATGTACGCAATGCTCATGGCCAGGAAGCAGGCCCACGACAGCAGAATGCAGCCATCCTCGACCTGCAGCGACCGTAATTTCCAGAAGATCAGACTAAACCGAGCAATGACCACCGCCGACGACAAGGCGATCATGGTATAGCCAGTGGCCTGTACCTGGCTGGCTGAGACATAGTTTCATTCCATCCGGACTGGTGGAGCGATCGCCAGCGATGTCTAAGTCGTTTGACGGCAGGCATCCCTTTTCATATTCTGCCGACATCCCGGGTGGTAAGCATCCTGCGGCGGGCAACAGGATGCATTAACAAGTGTTAATTTCACGGATACGGCTAATCTGGATGTCATCCGTCATCAAGCGAGCCGGACGGCCGCTAAGGAAGAGCCGGCGGTATAGCGCCTTGTTTGGGGAAGCCACCATGGTGGCCTATAAAGGAATGAGCGCCCTGCAGTAAGTCAACGCCTCCTGAAACCTCTACGACTCCTGCTTCAACCCTTATCTTCATCCTGTTCCTGCCAAGCACCATGCGGCCCGGCGCGCTGTTCATCGCTACGCTTCTGGCGAGAGTGACAGCGCTGGACAACACTACCAGTCGCATTGTCGCTAAATTGGCATCCTACGGAGTTGATGCCTACGAGTATTTCAACTCCAGCGTGCTGCTGGACTCGTCATTGAGCACGCGGTCGTTGGGATTTTGCTCCGACCTGGTGAGTTACTTCCCGTCTTCCTGTGTGCTAAAACCGGACGATGGCACCCGAACCCTGTCTAGTCGTCGGGCTAACGCATAAGCACCAAATTGACAATTTCACTAATCCGACCAGTGTTCCGCGCTTCCCCGGCTCTATCCTGGCCACGTGTTGCAACGCTCGACTACGGCTTACTCGACTTGGGATGCCAGCTTCTGGTCGCAGCAACAGGAGGATGTCGATCCAGCCTGCGTTTTCCAGCCATCCAGTGCAGTGGAAGTCGCTGTCGGCCTGCTGCTGTCAGAGCTGACGCTGTGTCCGTTTGCTGTTAAGAGTGGCGGCCATGCCGCTTTTGCAGGCGCCTCCAACATCCAGGATGGCTTGACGATAGATCTGGTCGGGCTGAACTCTACGGCTTTGTCCAGGAATTCCACTGTCGCGTCTGTCGGTACGGGTAACCGCTGGTTGGATGTCTATGATTGGCTAGATCCCATGGGCTTATCGGTCATTGGTGGTCGTGTGTCCGACATTGGCGTGGGCGGCCTGACGCTGGGAGGTAAGCGATAGATCAACCAGACGCAAGGAGAATGTAAGCTAACAAGGTATCTAGGAGGTATCTCCTTCTTCTCCGGTTTCCACGGCTGGGCCTGTGACAATGTTGCCAATTACGAGGTATATCAGTCTATATTGCTTATCAATACTGCTTCTGTATCTGACGAGATTGGTTTAGGTTGTTCTGGCCGACGGTAGCATCGTTGATGTTAACCCTGACACTCATTCCGATCTTTACTGGGCCCTGCGTGGTGGTGGCAATAACTTCGGCATCGTTACCCGCTTCGACCTGACAACGCACACTCAGGGCCTCATGTGGGGAGGCTCACGCGTTTGGCTGGAAGAGTATCAATCCGACATCCTACATGCGCTGGTTGACTTTGGATTCAATTCGCCGTCGGACCCCAACGGGGCACTGATTGTGTCAGTGGCTTACGCTGAGGGTCTCTACCTGCTGGTCGCAGACTTGGAGTACGCACAGCCGGTGACCAATCCCCCTATCTTCGAGAACTTCAGCAGCTCGGGAGTTCTGGAAGACACCATGGCCATCCGTAGTCTGTCCAACATTACCCTTCTGTTCAAGGAATCCAATCCCAACGGACTGCGCGAGAGCTATTGGACAGGCACCGTTCAGCTTGACTATGAGCTGGCGACCAACATCACCAACATGTTCAAGCAGGAACTCGTTCCTATTCAGAACGTGACCGGCCTTGTCCCCGCTCTCGTTTGGCAAGTGATCAGCACTAACACCATGGAGCACATGGCCAAGAATGGGGGTAACGCGCTAGGACTCGATCCGGAAGACGGGCCCTTGCTGCTGATCAACCTTGCTTTCATGTGGGACAATGAGGCTGATGACGCTGCAGTCATGGCTGTCCTGGGCAGAGTTACCCAAAAGGCGCTCTCAGCAGCACAGGCTCGTGGTCTGGGTAGTCGCTATCTGTACATGAACTACGCGAGTCAGTACCAGTCTGTTGTGCCCTCTTACGGCACGGCAAACCAGGCTCGCTTGCAGGCGATCTCGAAGAAGTACGATCCTTTGCAGGTGTTCCAGAATCTGCAACCGGGTTATTTCAAGCTTGATGGGGCACCAGCTTTGTAGGATGCTCGATGCATAGATATTTCGGAATTCACAAATTTTTTTTTTACGATAATTGCAGTGGATTATACAAAACTTGGCTCTTCCGGCCAGCGCCTGCGACTGAGCCCCTATGGACCTCAAAGCTGGGGTTCCCCAAACAGATAGAGTTATACAGAATGTACGGGTTAGTAATACTGTTACTACACTAAGCAATGACATCGGAGTCCGACAGCACGCTAGTCCACTTGAAAGCTCAGGAAAATAAAAACAAAGAAAAAGTTCTAAGTTCGAGTCAATCTTCTGATCCGTCGTGCCAGACTCAGTCATCTTCAAAAGAGACTAGGCTGAGAAACGGACATGACCTCCCGTTCAGCAATGACCAGTTTCGGCGCTAACCATGCAGTGTGAGAGCAATACTCATTTTCCCTAACTACCACCGAGAACGATAACGCAACTTGAATTCTCAAATCAGAATACGGCTTTGGCGAACTATTAGTGATGTTCCCATGTTTCTAGTATGAATATTTAGACTACAACGTCCTTTTCTTTGCGAAGGTTCTATAACATCCGCTGTCGACAAAATCCCTTAGCGCCAGCCAGTTTCAGGCATCCACCTTATGAAACACGACACATGAGAAACGATAGCCTGAGAATACGCGCCCAGCTACTGCAGACGTATATTAGCCAACCATCCCTACGCGACACTACGTTGGAATGATCTAGCATGACAACCCCCCTCAGCCTCGCAGCGCCTATAGACGCATTAACATCGTAGCCTGATGACAAGCTACCCAACAAATCCAGCACAACACCGGTCCATCTCCTTCCACTTTTCTACCACTCAAAACTGAATTCACTTTTCCAAGACCATCATCTGAATAAATAAACTACTGAACGCTATCAACATGTCCTTCCCCCACCCCAACACCTCCTACACCCTCGCCTGGATCTGCGCGCTCCCCGAAGAATACGACGTCGCAATCGCAATCCTTGACGAAATTCACGGTTTACCGCAAAATCAACCCCTCGAAGACAAAAACGCCTATCTACTTGGCAGAATAGGAGCGCATAATGTCGTTATGGTTTGTCTGCCTGCAGGACGGATGGGGACAACTGCCGCCGCAATCGTAGCGGAGAACTTGTGTCAGACTTTTAGGTCGGTGAAGTATGGGTTTCTTGTTGGTATTGGGGGTGGTGTTCCAGGGTCTGGGAGGGATATCAGGTTGGGGGATGTGGTGGTTAGTGTTCCGGGGGGTGGGTATGGGGGTGTTGTACAGTATGACCTGGCAGACGAGAGTGTATATCAAGGGCCATTGAACTCGCCGCCGGAAAAGTTGCTATCTTATGTGACACTTCTGAGTATTCTCATGAGGAGTCCTAGGGTTGCTGGGAACTGCTTCCGGGAACAGTTGGAGCTTCTTGGGGAGGAGTTTGAGTATCCGGTTCGTCTTGAAGATAGATTATTCTGCTCGGGGTATTCACATAGTTTTTGGAGAGGAAAATGTGAGGCTTGTGAACTCCACTGTGGTCAAATATACAGGAAGAAAAGGAAAGACACGCTTCCTGTTGTGCATCTGGGCACGATTGCCTCGGGGAATACCGTTGTTGGGGATGGTGTGACGAGAGATACAATTAATCACCGGTTTGGGAACTCGATCTTGTGTTTTGAGATGGAAGCCGCGGGAGTTATGAATACCTTGCCTTGTCTGGTTGTTAGAGGTATTAGTGATTACGCGGACTCGAGGAAGAATGATGAGTGGCGGCCGCGTGCTATTGCTGCTGCTTGCAGCTATGCAAAGGCTTTAATTTTGCAGATTCCACCGGAAGAGGTGCCGCAGCAGGAGATTTATGTGCATGTGACAGGTCCAAGTAAGTGGGACGCTTTCATTAAGGTTACATGTGACTTGCTAACGGGTTTGTGTCCTAGTCAAAGACCTGCGTGATGAACTGGGTCAAATAAAGGCGGCACTTTATGGTCTCTGGAGTCTTCAGAGAGGTAAAGTTCTAATTAGGAGCGTGCTCCCCCTTCGGCAGTGAGCTAACTACAGTACAGATAATGCATATACAGAAAGTCACAACGATCATCGCCTGACGACTGTGTGGAGCAGAAGCGTGAGCATCACCGCAAGCCTCACTAGCAGGCTAGCCTTCCCATATTATGGATTGATGCAAGCGAGCCAGTACGTAAGCTACAGGATATCGTCCTTTGTCGACAGCATGAAGCGGTATATATGTTCCAAGCTACTTGGGTACCCTACAAGAGACGCAAAAGCCGGCCCTAGTGCTGGAGCACTCCCTTCCGTACTTTCAAGGATGGGGGTGGCATCTCATCGCAGAGCCGCACATGTGGATGTCCTCGTGATATATAGTGAAATTTCTCGATCCGACCTCGCTTGAATGAGGATCAACACATGTCCGCCTATTTACGAAGATAAAGTCGAGCGATGTTCGTGATGTGGCTCGTATGGCGGGGTCAAAGGGATTGCCGAGACTTGCAAATTGGCAATTCCGACACTTTATGCTCTCGCTTGATCGCGCGATCAACATTTTAGCCTGTCTGCCTTCAAATCGACAATCGTTTTCGATTTCTATTGGTGCGGAAGCATTCCCACACACGGCTCAGCGGTCTCGTATTCGTGCCGATCGGAGGAGATTGAGTATGGCTTCGTCTTGGCATGACAGATATATAGACCCTGAGCTGAAAATTTTAGCCTTATATCGAGGGATAGGGGATTCTTCTCCCATTGTGGGAGTTTATAGAGTTTTTTTCCAGAACATTTATAATTACTGCAATTTTGGTAGGCATAGACGGGGGTACTACGAACAATCCCCTAAAATATGGCGGAACTCACAGTGGGATATGTTTCTGGCATCATTGCCGCTGGCGTGTTCCTGGGTAGGTGACTCAGTCTTGAAGTTCAATTGAACATAAGCTAACTGCTTCAAGTCCGTCTCTTTATTCCAACGGTTATTTGTCTCTTGGTTATCGGCCATCTGCCCGCTGAGAATTCGATCGTCTCTTGGTATCGATTCCTCTCACAGGCTTTTTCATAAATCGAATATCACTGATAATGCTATAGGTCAGTCGTTAGCCGGCTGCTTCACTCATCATATTGGCCCACAATACTTGATTCAGATACCGCTGCCAGCACAGGCGTCAGCAAACGAATTCTCACCTATTCCTGGCTTCAGTTGATCGCAGCTGTACTTGTATCAGTTACCGGAATCGTCACCCCTCTGGGCCTCTACGACACAATCGGTCCCCAAGACAACCCCACAGACGTTCTCTTCCACTACGCGCCTGATACATCAGCCTTCGGAAAGGCAACCCCTAGTAGGGATGGATATAAATCACTTCGCATGTGTTATGCAGATGAGGATCCCGACACCCCAGAGGGCTGTCCCGGCGCACCACCAAATCGGGAGGACATGGACGACATCACTGAAGCCTATTCGGTTTGGCCTAGCAGTATCAGCCTGTTTACGAGTGGAAACGTGTCAGCGACAGTCTCCAGCGTGTTCGATGTCCAGTGGCGGTCGTTTCGTTCATCAACGCAAATAGTACCAGGCGCTAGCCCTACAGGGAGTGTATTCTCTCAGGGATATTATCGACAGATTTCCCAGCTGATCTTGGATGAGGACTTGTTGGCTGTTGAGGGTTTAATCGTGGATAGCAAGGCTGGACGGATCGGTTTCCGCAATCATACTATTCCTGCATACCTGCCCATGGGCGCTGAGTGGACAGAGGATATCCTGTTCATCGAACCCGAAAGCCGTTGCGTCGACACTAATTTGACAGTGGATTACAACTACGACCCCCAGGCACAATTTAGCAGCTTCAGTACCGACAACATGTATAACACCGATCTTCGAAATTTAGCTCTTGTTGACCGCGGTGGTTTCGTCAACCTATCTCATGAAAGATACGATATCAATGCTTCTAATTTCCAGGAGAATGCTGCACTGTACGAACGTGCCTACAATGCCGCATGGAGACACAATATGCTCATAATGCAGTACTTCAACGTGACGACCAACGGATCAGACGGACGCGTACCATTCGAGTATATGCACTCAGAGCTGGGAAAGAGGTTCAGTCTGGCAAACATTTCGACTAATTTCGTCGAGCCGATGACTGTCCAAACAGACTCGGGGTACGGTAGTTTTCTTGACCTTCAAGACGGCTTTAACTTGGGAACCAACTACTCGACTGAACAGTCCAAGAATCCGCTAAACCTCAGCACCTATGATGTCTATGCCATCGGCAGTGAAGCCTGTCATTACCCTTCCGATACGGCTCTATCAAACATGTCATTCGTCGGCATAGCCTGCGGTACTATTTTCGCCGCTCCTCGGAGACTCGACGGTGACCCGCTCATCCCAGACACAAACAGCACCTGGAGCACCCCGCTCTATTCCTGCGCAGCGGCGACCAAGGCGGCTGTTCGCGAAGTCACCTTCCGATTTAATGGTACCGGGGGCCTAGACAAACTAGTCATCCAAAGCATCAACGAAAAGAAATACAAAGACCCCTCCGAGCTCCCCCTCTGGGGCGTCGAGCGACTCACGAACCACACCATGCTAAATGTGCGCCCTCTATGGGGCCTCGTCTCACCCGAAGTCGGCGCTCGCGACGACATCTCCACCGTGCAGAGAGACTACCTCTGGCTTCCCGGCTACACGGACCTCCTTACATCTGACACCGTAGCCGGCGAGCCAAGCATGCCCGGAAACCTATTCTACACACAGCGACTCCTCTCCCTATTCGACATCTCCACTCTCGACGAAGCAACCTCTCGATACACAGGATCCGGTGACCTAGCTCTATACAACCGCTGGTATGAACTATCTTCCTCCGCCAGCGGCGTCGAGAAAATGCTCGGGCTTATATGGACCGACATGTCCGCAAATACCATTGTCGGGACGCGTGGATGGCATAACGCTCCAGGTCAGACTTCCAAGAATAGGAAATTGGCGAAGCGAGATGTGGGTGGGGTAAGCGTTCCGGTGACACTGTGGTCAAGGAACATAAAATACCACGTTCCCTATGCCATTCCAGCGTTTATTGTTCTAGCTCTGTCCATTACGCTTGCGGGGTTCACTGTCTGTCTCCTTATTTCACGCCGTACGGGTCTGGGACAGATGCGGTCTTATCTTGCTCGTACCTCGCCGGGTAGAATTCTTGGAACTGGGCTTCATCCAGATCAAGCCGGTGTCCTTGCGTCTACCAAGGCTTGGATCCAACAGGTGGGTGTGCGGAAGGCTACTCTGCCAGGACAGAAGGAGGATGGAACGATTCCGTTGTTGGATATTCCTGCTGCTACTGAGGAGGGGGTCCGAGATCGGAAGTAGGAGTGGCTGTTTGGTTATGTTGGTCTGGGGCGTTTGTCTTCTGTGATTAATTGATTCAGATACTTGGGGATAATACTAGCTCTGATGAGGTGAATTACATGAGCGCTAGTTAATGAGCTTTTTTATCAGCGCAAGGTTCTGGTAATCATAATATTTTGCAAAGGATCAACGTGTGATAATCAGGTCATCTCTCTTCTCTCTGGAAGACCACCATAGGTGCCAGAATAATAATTCAAAAGTTAACTTCAAACTAACGTGCGAGAGAACTTATAACTGACTGAATTGTCACTCGGCAGCTACTCCTCATTGCCCTAGAAACACTTGACAATTCATCTACAAGTATCACACACAGTCCCTGCCCATACCAGGTGACCATCCTACACCTGCGGAGTGCGGAGTACCCTGGCTACTTTTTATTTTATATTTTCATTTCATTTCTTTTTATTCTTTTTTTACTATTACTTTTCTCCGTTTCACTTATCTTCTGTTCAGCCCCATTAGCTATCCTCCGATCCTATTAGCCTTTAGGTAACTCAAAGTCTCGGCACGCTGCATGCGCATCTGCGGCTGAGGGGACACGTTCCATCAACTCCACAACCCTTCATTTTCGGAGTCTCTGTTCTTACAGCTGATAAAACTCAAGGCATACAGAGTAAACTTAGGTAGATATGTAAGCTTCCAGGCATTGGCTTGGATTGGAGGGATGAGATTAACACATGCCATGGCACAAATTTGGCACCTTCACAACCGCACGCACCGTCAGCCCCATGATCTCACGGTGGCTGGTGTAGTCCTCTGAAGCTATCATCAAGATCCTAAAGTGCAGAATTGCTGTCTCTTCTGTGTACTAGGCAATGGCACTAGCAGGGCTTGTTCGGGGTCTGCTCGGTCACGAGGTATGGAAATCCTTAGGTTCAGCTGAGAGGATTTTCTTGCATGCCCGCTGAGATCCGCATGCATGCTTTCACGTAGACTAACAAAAGAAAAAAAGAGTGCGCAATGAACACTGCATTATTCAATTTCGATGACCTTCGAATGGCCGCTGCGTTCAAGTTATTCTCGTGTGGCTGGAGAAAATCCAGGTCTGGCAGATACGGCTTCTTGTGCTCAATGAGCTTGGAAGGGCAATTTGCTGGGTCTCTTTGACGTAGAGATCCTGGGCAATTCTATGTGTATGATGCTTAGGGACATCGGCGGATTAGGTGGCAAATTTCTTCTGCAGTGCATAGAACAAGCTTGCATCTAAGGGCCAAACGTCATGGAAAACCATCTTTGGGCTGCAATAATGAGTCAGATGTACGCTCAAGCAAAGCAGGATATTGCCGTTGTGGATCTGCAATGACTAGAAAAAGCGGGGAAACAAAGACTTTGAATGCACAAGGCCTTGGTTATTCGGACTAGTTCGGGGCTGTGAACTCCGGAATGGATGATTGCATGCAGCGTGAACTTGGTAGTGGCGATGATCCTGTGGAGGGAAAGAAGTTTCCCTGGAGGTATGTCGGTCAAGACTGAGGGGAGCTGATAGCGCCCAAGGCACATGTGGAGGCAACTTTCAGCCCTGGTGGGGTGCTAGTAGATGGTACGTTGTATAACATGCACCATCAATTGGTGGACAAACGTGATGTGCTCGTTGTGAGGGAAAAGCAATATGAGACTATTGAGTAACTTGTGCACGGCTAGTTTAGTGTCCTGATATACCTCGTTAGTTGGGTCGGTATTGCGCCCACAACAAGGAATCACTGCAGGCAGAGTCTTCTGCTTGATCTAACCAGTATGGGAGAAACCTTCTTGGAATTACAAAAGGCAGGAAGTAGTACTACTCCTTGTGAACAACTTGGAGATATAAAAACCCCTCCATTTCCGTCTCATAAGAACCTCGCTTCTTTCTCCCCATCACTCCTCCACATCATCATCCTGACTTACCTCCTACCTCCCATCTCTACTACTGTTTTTGTTCAAATCCCTATCTACTACTACTACAAGATGAAGCTCCTCGCTGTATTCGGCACCCTCGCATTGTCGGCCACCGCGAATGCCGCCGTAACTGCAACTTGCACCCCTGGCTTGAATTACTGCTCCGGTGTGCTCGAGGATGTTGGTGAGTTCAAGCCCCCACTCATATGAACGCTGTTCAGAAAAGAAGAAAATCAAGTTCTGATTGATGAAAAGGAAGCAACGGTGACGCGATTGAAGACGCATTGAGAAGATATGGTCTAGGAAACAATTCCGGACACACTGGCCTATGGCCCTATTATGTGTTCCATTGCAACAACGATCATACCCTTACCGTTGTTGAGCATTGTCAATTGGGTTGTCTAAACCATGGCAAGGGCCAAAATGATTCCTGTTAAATTGGAACCCTCGGGTTGAGATCATCTGGCTACGTACATTAGTACGGTTCTGCACTCTGATTTTAGGTTCTTGGATGGTGGAGGGTGCTGTGCAAAGCAAAATCAGAGATTTGAAGTTTGGGTGCATGAATTGCGGTGATGCTTTTCATAAATGGAGAAACGATGCTCTCTATCTAGCAACTGGCTCATATTATTGGAGTAAGATCGTATTGTAGACTTGCAAACACACTTCATAAACATAAGCTGCAAAATAAAAAATGAATAAGATGAGGCATGCTCAATACCCATTGTGAGCCTGCGTCCGATGACTCGTCGCCTCGCCTCGCGACCCGAACGACCTCTTGCAATCCGTACACCAAAGATGCTTCATCGTGGCATGCCGCCTCAAACTCGCCTTATCCATAAAAAGCCGACAGCAGTCTAGACAAACCCTCTCGCGATAAGTACTACAGATTTCACGAATAATTGAGATAACGCCAGAGGGGATAAGTTCAATATCCAAGGTTGTCATGATCCTGTCTCCCTAACGTAAGCCACAGTGCACTCCGTTTGCTTTCAGTTAGTTAGTATGATCTAATCACATACCGTATTTTTCTGTCCACACGAGACAATCTTTCTATCAGGAATGTGGCGAAGTCGTATGAAAACTGTGGGTATTCCATGCGTGTCTCGCGGAATGCAGGAATCTCCTTCAGTGTAGCAATATGCTCCACGGCGAAACTTGCTACTGTATCCCGCAGCTTCGAGTTCGGCGGGCTATCCGGTCCGTAGACTTTTTCGATAATCCTGAGGAATTCCTTGTTACTCCAGGCTAGGGTAAGTCTATTTTCTAGCTTCTTCTTCGCAAGGGCCATTAGGGGCTCGACGGCGTATTTATCAGCGACGTTATACATTGCGATACTAACATGCGCTTTGGTAGTCGGAGTCTCATATTCAGGGTTATTGGCAGGGTGTTTCTTGTCCGGTGTTTCGTCATAGTCTCCACGATAGAAATAGTCAATCATCTTGCTAATAATCGTGGGATCGTCGTGGATAGTAACGACTTTTGTTTTCGCCTCCTGTAACCCGTCAGATTCATTCTGATGTATCCCATAAACTCACCTGAAATTCCCCACACAGGGCCTTTTCGAAAAACGGCGACTGCGGACAGACGATACATCGATGGACGTTGAAGGTCGATGGGTGGCATTTTATCTCGAAGTCGGAGTATATTCCATTTCTGATACTAGTTTTCTTGTTGCGTTAGCTGGTATCTGATATACAAGGCTCTGGGGCGAGATATCACTTCGATAGAATGGCAAGGAGGGTGCTGGGGTTGGTGGCCATGCTCTTCAACAGTGCGAACCAGTGCATTTTCGGCGGATGAGTAGAGATGCTTAGGTGTTAGAGGAAAGTAGGTCAATGATGATATTTTAATGCTCGTATGAATACGTCACAGAAGTAGGGCAATGCTAGGGTCATGTTTGCGTTGTGGTCGGATGCGCGCTATAGCCTTCCGTACCAATGAAGACTACGGGGTGGAGTAGATAACCTCGCCAACGGTTTGGACTGTATGGCTTCAGGGCCCTTTTTGTATCAGGTTCAGGTCTATTTAGGCGGATGTTATCAGATGTCTTGATTATAATTCAAGGAATCAGCTGGGCTAACGTTGTGAAAAAACAATTTTGAATTTGACATGTCCAAAATGAGAACGACGCGCACCACATACAATGACATCAACTAGACCAACGCCCAAGCAACCAGTCGGCTAGCTCATGATGACCTCCCTTCATTGCAAAGCCCGCTGCCTGACGACGTATAGACTCCAGATCTGCATCTTCCCCATAGGCATTCGGAAACAACTGGACCATATCAAAATGGCCATACTCCGCAGCGCGGTCAATTGCTGTTCTACCCCTATTGGCGCAGCTGGTGCTGTGACATCTGCTCCACGTTGAAGAAGCCGTACGGCCAGCTTCAACATCCTACTTCTGGCAGCCTCCTGGAGCGCAGTAGCTCAACCATAGCTTCATTCCCATTTTATATCGCTTCGCATAGATACTTAGTCCGAATTTGGTGTCGAGAGGGAGTATCAGTCTGTAGCCAGAACCCGCATTGTATGAACTTTCGATTACTAAGGTATATAGTTCCAAATAGGAGAGCATTTTGGAAAAGCTTCCTTGCCCACGAACACCGCTATCAGCGGGGACGGAAGACAACAGATGAATAGGAGGACGTCCATGCCGCCTTTCTCGACAGTGTATTCAACAATTTCGTGGATTTGCGATTGGCTGAGTAAATTGTTGGCGGACAGAAAAACAAAGTGCTGTAGGAAGATCTTGAGGATGGAAAAAGAAGATTTCCCCCGCAGTATATTCGGTTTCAAGGTCAAGAAATCTCCGTCATACGGTTCTTCAGGTGGAAGAAACATATCATGGTCGATGCTGGTCTTGTGGACAACCTTTCCAGAACTCAATCGTGGTACGCCGCTATCAAACTGACTGGCAAGGTCCCTCATGGAAACACCCATGGGAGGTACAACCAGATATTGATGGGGCAATAGGCAACTGACTAGTTTCTGCTAACCTTGCCAAACAAATAAATTGCCGGAAAGCCCATGGCGTACTATACAAGAACAGAGCAGCGCATAGTTAGGATAGGAAGGTATAGGGTGTAGGGAAAAAGACATCAAGAATAGCAATTAGACACATACCGAGGTTCTGTATCTCCTGGATAAATCTGTACCAAGGTTGCGAGAGAGGAAAGCATTACCCATGCTCGGTAGGTCAATTTGCTCTGACTGGGGTGTAGAGATCGTGATATAGCTGTCACACCACTTGTGACCTGGATGAACGGGTCGTCCAAACTCAACATCGGTTTCTGCACGTGTATGAATATGAACGTCGCTGTCTTTTCCCTCTTGTCTTCGCTTTTGCTCCTTTGGCCGATCAAAGAACCGGTTTTTTCTGGTGTGATATTTTCTTTTTTTTCCAGAGTTTCAATTTCCCAACATATTGGTTCTTACTAAAGGCAGCCACGCGATAATGTCAGTATTTGGACTTAACTATAAGTTAACTATAACAAGGCTCGGCCCGAGGAAAGTCAACTTTATACCTAGCTGCAAAGCCATGTTCCTCCATCATATGTTTCATCATTTGATCTAGGGTTCTCGATGAATAAGAAGCAATGATTTCTTCTTTGTGTCGATTCCATATCTCTTCCGGGATTCGAGGAGCTCTCTTCGGCATCGTGAAGCAAGTAATCCAGAGGGTCAGTTTCTCACGCTGGGGAAGACTTTGATGAAGGGGGGGGGGAAACGTCACTGACAATCCTTATAAACGGCAGGTAGGTGGTACTATATCCTTCTCGGGGGCGCACCAATTTCAACTGCGACCAAAGATTCATCCTCTGGTTGGGCAACACCCGAATCAGGGTTTACTAGGAGCACAGCCTCTGCATACTGACGCCTTCATTGGCTGAAGCCCAAGTTCGGACGCTGTGATACGGTGTGGCATGGTGCCCTCGACTTAGAAATTTGGTTTCCTCGACTGTGCTGGACTTTTACTAGCGCTGTTCATGCTATGATGCTATGGACACAATTTGGTCTTCACCGACCTCGCTATTTGGTTTGTCGCCTGAAATATATAATAGTCGAAGGACACTATGGAGACGGACATTCTTCCAAAGGGCAGCAAAGATGCCTTGGTCGATAGACACGTCGCTATCGTTCATCACCCTTCTCCTCACAGGAACCTCGTTCCTTCTTAAAATCTGGAACCATGTTGTAAATAGGTCTTACGGGAGGGTTCTACCCCAAGGTTTGCGGTCGCACCGATTATAACGACCGATACTAATGGACCTAGGAGTAGTCAGATCTACCCCCGAAACCTCGATTATCAGAAGACAACAACAACATCATCATCATCAACTACACAATGTCGATCCAGATATTCTGCTCGAATCTGGGCTACATCCCGGAGCCTACCAAACGCTGATTGTTAATCAGGTCTGTGAAGCGACACCACCCAAAGTTTCGAGCCCGGGTTGACTCGCAGAAGACATTCGTTGTAAACATCAGTTCGGTTGCGCATACTGTATGACCGACGTAGCTGCTCCAGCTTTACCTTCGATATCTATTTATCGGGATTTACAGAGATTCAATATGGCTTTGGGATATTACAACTATCTCAATAACCTTTAAAAAAGAGAAAGTTCTTGGATTTGTGAATCGCAATACAGCTTTTGGGCCCTAATACAGTTTGATTAGAGGGAAGTGGGGCTCATACCAGTGGACAGTCTCAAGCCATAGCATAGAAATAATGGATAAGGCGTTTGAGTCTTCGATGATTGACTACTTGAACTGAATGACTGAACTAAGCACCCTCGTATAAGTGAGGTGCATGATTAGATACCTACATCATCCTGCGTAGGCTCAGATTCGGGGCACCTTCAACGCATGGGCACATCCCAACGGGATAGGGACTTGTAATCAGGCACCATCAAATCCTATTTGACACACAGACAGCTCTTGGTCCTCTGGGAGCCTCCCCTCCTCGAATTGTCGTACAAAATAACAAGGTGTCGGATGACTGATCCAAGGCAACCTTTTTTAAGGCCGTAAGATTTTGGCGCGGGGTGTGTGGCTACGCCATGTAACCAAGCTACTACCAGCCTCACACACTACGGGATGGATGGCCGCTATGCCCGCTGTAACACACTAAACAGTAGCTCGTCTCACCCGGCAAACGGCCTCCCGACATCCGGCTGCATCTTACTCTTCTCTTCTTCTCTTCAATTACCCATACACCGTCTCACTCGTCTACTTTCTACATACTCTCTACCCTCGATCTCTAAAATAATCCAAATCAAATCAAAATGGCCTCCGGACTCATCCTCAACCCCCACAACCTTCTCCGCGCCGCTCCCCTCATCTCATCTACCTGCACTCTCTGGTTCGCATTCGACCAAGACCTGGTCCTGAACGTCTTTCTGCACCCGGACCACCGTCCCCGCAGCAACGAGATCTTACCATCCTATTTCCGCGTGCTCTTCCGCCGCGGCGTCGTCCGCGTCCTAGGCCTTCTGGCCCTCTCCATGGCGGGAGGCGGATACAACATTCTAAAGGACCGTCGATCAGGGGTAGTCGCGGGCCTCCAATCATCCTTGTCGTGGTATGTAGCCGGCACAGCACTCGCCGCTAGTCATCTGCTTTATGTGCCTGTTATTGCTCCCAAGGTGTTGGCCATCATGGAGGATGAGTCGAAGGGTTCCTCGACGGAGGATCTGGAGGGTTGGTTGACGATTCATCGGGTGAGGACTTGGACGGTGGATCTTGCGGCGTGGGCTTGTTTTGCGGTGGGGGTGGGGTTGGCGTAGGTAGTTTGGAGATTGGAGGGTATGTAAATAGGTGCTTACTGAGATGTAGCCTGGTATACTGATGTAAAATATGCTATGGGAATCATTTCATTGTTATGTAGTCATACTTCTCCGCAATCTCCACCACATGCTGTATCTTCGTATACACCAGACAGCCGCCAGAACCACTCGACATTTCCACTTAGATATACAAAAACATCTTTATCTTTGACTCTGCCGCATTCTATGCGCACAGTGAGGTGGAGACAGCTAATTAGCGATGCAACTTTAACAATAACAAAATCCAGGACCAAGTGTATGCATGCACTTACTTACGTCACTTGGTGCCCAGTGAGCCACGATATGGATGGGATGACAGGAGTTGCGTGTACTCGATATACTATAGTACTATCTACTCCGTCTATCATAGAAGTGAAGGGACTGCTGTTCGTCAAATGTAAGTTGACCTCCCAAGCTCTCTGCTCGTGCGAAGATGACTCTAGCAGCAGGGCCTACGACGACTTGTATTACTTGGTCGATGGATATGCACCGTTTTGAAGAAGGTACCGGGCCTCGAGAGATTGGCAAATCTGAGCAGGTTTCACTCTCGGATGAAAGAGACATACCAGAGCTTGAGCGGTCATAGCCTTCTCTACCTGAGGGCTGGGATTATGGGTATGAAGCTTTCGGCAGCTCACTGCATAGACAACGAAATGAATTTTCAGGACATTGGTTATCAATCAGGAACCTCATACATGTTTGAACCGACTCTCTTTGCGTATTCCGGCATTATATGCATAGATATAAATCGATGCGTTATTGTTGCCCCTCGAAGTTCGAATTTATCCGAGCTCAAAGTGTGGTTATACTTCGGCTAGACAGTATTTTAACTCCGTTGACCTTATTGTGGCTTATCAGCCATATCGCACCACGATTACAGGTCGGATAGACAGCGAATTTAGCTCCGTTGACCCCTTTCTAGGACGCAGCTCACCAGGCCCACGCTAATTCCTCGCCAGACCTGCGCTAACCCACTTTGGTAGTCACGTAATGGCTAACCTGACCTGGTCATTATTCCTTTACAGGAGATCATCTTTCGGGTCAACTCATCTACTCAGTGCAGTTACAAAATCAATCACTGAATTCATGCTCTTTAAACGAGGGAGCGCTGGCAGTAATAAGTGTTGACTACATTCCTATTAATATTTTTCCAATTAGGAAGGTTTTCTAGTGTTTTAGAGGTATTTACTTCTCATAACTTAGAGATCAAGTGGTTTGGTTCCTGGAAATACAAGAGAAACTTAGTAGTTATAGGTCGATTGACTATGGTTTGCTTAGTAATGTGCACCACAGTCACGTGTTGGTATTCACGGTCACTTGACCTCTCACAAAGGTGAAAGGGTTCAAGAGCTCAAGAAGCTGGGTTGAACCCCTTCAAGCTCGGCACTTATCTTATCGGCTTATCTAGCCCAAATGGGAAGATTGTTCCTTCACGTGATAACTTAGTCATCTCAGCGATTCCGCCACCCGCTCCGCGTCTCGATTGCAAAGCGCTCCGCTTGACATCTAAAGTTCCTTGTCTCAGCGTTCTCTTCTATCCTTATTCTTCTGTTCTTTGGGAGATCATAAGACTTGATTGTCTCTGCCCACCATGCCGCGCGCAGAAGCTGGATCGACAAAGGCGATCAGCAATAAGATCAAGGCTGTACGTTACCCTCTTGTCCACTTCCAAATCAACATACTAATGTCCAACAGAAAGGCTTAGGCAGGCTTAGATGGTATTGTCAGGCTTGTTCGCGCCAGTGTCGCGATGAGAACGGCTTTCGCTGGTAAGTTCCGTGTTTAGTGAAAGATTCAACTTTTATGATACTGACTTATCCAAGCCATGTCCAGAGTGAAAGCCATGTGCGCCAGGTGCTGCTGATCGGCGAAGACCCCAAGAAATACATCGAAGACTACAGCAAGCAATTCCTCGACAACTTTCTCAATTTACTCAAGACCGGCCATGGCGAGAAGAAGGTTCACATCAACCAGTTCTACCAGCAAGTCATTGCCGATAAGGAGGTTAGTGGACCGTAATCCTTGCGGGGTGATTCTGTTGCTAACATGACAATAGCACATCCATATGAACGCTACGAAATGGAAGAGTCTTTCACAGTTCGCTGCATACCTGGGTCGTGAGGGAATTTGCCGTGTCGAGGAGACGGAGAAGGGTCTGTTCGTATCTTATATCGATCGGAGTCCGGAGGCCATGAGACGACAGGAGGCTCTGCTCAAGAAGGAACGTCAGGACAGGGGAGATGAGGAACAGGAGCAGCGACAGATTCGGGAGCAGATTAAGCGCGCTCAGCAGTTTGCGAAGGAGGAGGAAGATATCGACCCTGAAGCTCGCAAGTTGCAACGCAAGGAGGGTGAGAAGGTCAAGCTGAATATTGGATTCGGTTCGAAGACAAACGGCGATTCGAAGAGCGAATCACCGAAGCCCGCCTCGTCTGAGGAGAAGGACAGCGGTACGTCGGCCACTCCAGAAACTGCCGATGCTTCGCCTGCTCCTGCTGCTGCTGCCACTCCCGCCTCCGCCCCGCCTGCGCCCCAAGCTGCGCCGAAAGTATCTTTGTCCTTCGGTGGTGGTGGAAACAAGCCGAAGAACGTCTTTGCTGCGGCTGTAAAGAAGAACCCTTTTGCAGGAAAGAAAGGGCCGGTTATGGAACAACCCAAGAAGATGACGGAGCAGGAGCGCATCATGAAGCAGGAGATGGAGGCTATGGAGCGGAAGCGTATGCGGGGTTCTGCTGGGTTCCCTGATGCGAAGCGCCCGAAGATCTCTTGAGCTGTCTTTTGAAAATAATATCTCCATGTGGGTTATGCCCATACCTCACACCCTCATCGGCATCGATGCCGCTCCGCCCAGGCGACGTTGATTTTTTTTCGTCGGCCAGTGGGCTTTGCTAATACACCATGGGGTTGTTTCTATGACAAGTCCGACTTGAATAACCCTCACGCCGTGCGCCCTCGTTATCAGTGGCGGCATTTCAAGCAACGCTTTCTTACGATCGCCGTTCAGTCGGATATCTGTTGGTTGGGACGCACTCTTTCTGTTGGGTGCAACAACTATGCTATTGGCGTAGTTATCTTAAATCCTTCGTTCGCCTTCGATAGATCTATGACTAGGTAGCGTTGGCAATAGGGTTGCCAACGAATGATTTTCTATTTTGCATGTTCTATGCCACCGTATCTTTCAGTATTGCCTCGAGAAGTGCAGTACGTGCATATCTCCGAATAATGCTATTTATTCCCCTGCCGTAACTCCGGGTGTCCTTCACCCAGGACGATGTAGGGGGGTGGCTATGTGTACTGTCGGGCAGGGTAGTGAGCTTCATTTATGTGCCCATGTCTGTCTTATGCGATATATTATCGCCGTCTCTTGTTTTGATTAGCACTAGTATGGTACTTACACTTAAGTGAGCATGGTGACAGTGATTACCGTTTCCCACCAAAACGCCCAACACGTGGGTAAATATATATTAGTTACACCACTCTATCCACGGAAATGTATTGCACCAGTGAAAACCCCCTAGACTCAACCAAAAGAAGTAATGAAGCCGGAATAGGAATCATGCAATAGTAACCTCATCTGGATACGAAAACTAAACCAAGGAAATATAGGTTACTCCGTCGAACATGGCGTAAGTCCTTTGCGATCTACTTGGGAATATAGTTACTTTACTGGCCGCTGATAAAACCAAAGTTAGAAACATTTATCATAACAAGCCCGGGTGGTCTAGTGGTATGATTCTCGCTTAGGGATACAAACCCAAGCATATCTGCGAGAGGTCCCGCGTTCGATCCGCGGCTCGGGCCTTGTACTTATCTTTTTTGTTTTTGTTCCGCTCCCGCTTACACACAACTAGTTGTCTCTCCCAAGCAAGGAGACAAGAAGCGCGCGAGAGGAACAGCCATGATCACCAAAGAGTCAGCAAAACAGCTCTTGCAAATCGCCGTGCTGCTGCTGTATTCTGGCTCCTAGGAGACTGAAGTTTTCCTCGTTCCATGCTCATGATCCCGACCCCTCAGCATGAATCTATCTTCAGCTCACACACCCTTCCACCCAAACCCGTTGAGCTCGCACTCTCCTGCTGCATCTTTCCCCACAGACTCCAACTACAATGTAACCCAGCGTGACCTAATCAGCATACGAATCTGACACAAGACGTGAGGGTTCGAACTCAATCCAGTGCGTTGTCAGTCACCGACCCACCATCCCCGCAGTGAACCACAATATCTATCTATCATTCGGGTTCATCCCCCGAGCCCGGCATATCGCGCCGTGCTTTTTCTTCCACCGGCGGAGATACGCTCCGCTGATGGATTGACTCATCCACTAATCTTAATTTTCACATTCCAAAATCGAACATTCATCAACCACACAAGAATCGGGAGTTACACTTACAACCACAATAAACCCCACTGACACCAAAGATGGCTGTACAATCGCTTTCCCCCGAGAGGAGGGAGAAAACCCTCGCTTTTATCGGATGTGGTATGTTTTCATTACCAGCACCAACACTACAATCCAACAACCACCAACACCCCCGAATAGCTACAACCTACTAACGGAGGATAAAGGCAACATGGGCTCCGCCATCCTAAGCGGTCTACTTGACGCAACGCGCACCCAAGCGGGAAAATTCAACCACTTCATCATAAGCACCAAGACCGCCGCATCCGCGGAACGTCTCCGCACCCAATATGCAGAGGATGCGTCCCGCGTGACCATCGCACACGACTCCAATCTCCGCGCGATGCGCGAAGCAGACATCACCTTACTCGCCTGCAAGCCCTTTCTAGCGAAAGGTATTCTCTCCGCTCCGGGTGTTGGGGAAGCGTTGTCCGGAAAGCTAGTGATTAGTATCATGGCGGGGATGACGCCCACTGACATACTTGACTGTCTGGGCGACGGTGACCGCGAAAGCGTGAAGGTTTTAAGGGCGATGCCGAATGTCGCGGCAAGGTTGCGCCAGTCTATGACTATTGTTGAGCTTCCGGAGAGGAAGCCGCTGGAGGAGGAGTTGGTGGAAATAGTGACGTGGGTGTTTGAGGTGATTGGGAAGGTTAAACTTCTAAGTGCGGATCTGTTTGATGTTGGGACGATGTTGGTAGGCGCTGGGATAGGGATTCTGACAGTGCCTTTGGAGGGATTGTTGGATGGGTGTGTGGTGGAGGGGTTGAGGAGGGCGGAGGCGCTGGAAATGGCGGCTCAGACGTTGTCCGGGATGGCGGCGTTGTTGAAGGAGGGGTCGCACCCTGCGGTTTTGAGGGAGAATATTTCCTCCCCGAGGGGGTGTACCATTCAGGGAGTGATGACGGTGGAAAGAGCTGGGGCCAGAGCGACATTTGCAGATGCGGTGATCAACGGCACGAGACATCTGAAGGGGGATCGATAGATGTACTATCCTCGGGGTATGATTCCGAGTAGATTAGATCGAAAGATAGAAAGCGATAGATAGATAGAACACTGATAGAATCCCGTCAATTCCATTGACATATCATCCTTGATAAGAACGCGCAGCACCCATTGGTCCATACCAGATGCCCTCCTTCCATATACTACCAGTTCCATCATCCTGCAGCGGTAACCTTAACCGAATACTACCGGAAACACCCACCGAATGCAATCCATCATCCATCACCACCAACTTACAACATAACCCAATCCATGCAGACACAACCCCCCTCGCGTAGACACAAGCCAATCGGTCAAAAAACCGCCCTGCCGCGATCTACGACCACATACTCTGCGCTGGCATCCCTACCCCTCACTACTACTATCTGACAGAGATATAATGAGGGATAAATAAGTAGACAGGGAGATACCACAAACCCTGAACGTAGAATGAAAGAATATACTTACTACCCAGTCCAACCTCTGAAATGAGAGCGAAAGTATTACTCTGGCCAAAACGGCCTACCACTTCCCCTCTCCTCTACTACCAACTCCTCCACAACCACCCACCAGTCTACCACCATGCCTACAACACCTCAACACCAACACCATCACCAACATCAACTGCAACAACACACCACACCATACCTAAACCCCCCACCACATCCCCCCTATCCGCCCTCCCAACCCGCACCTTCCTCCGCTCCCTCCTCTTCACCTCCGTGATGGCCTCCCCGCTCCTCAAGCCCTGTCTCTCCGTGCTAAAGTACATGGTCGACTCGAACTCCCTCCTCTTCAGCCCAGCCAAGAACCCCATTGTGAATTATCTGCTGCGCAGGACCATCTACGATCATTTCTGCGCGGGGGTTAATGAGGGAGAAGTCCGCAACACGGTGCAGGAGATGAAAGGGCTCGGGTTCAAGGGGGTGATTCTGGGGTATGCGAGGGAGTCGATTGCCAAGGTCGAGGACGTGGTTTCTCTTCAGTCTGCTGAGGAGAAGATGGAGGTGTTGGATCGGGCTGTCGAGGAGTGGAGGGCTGGGACGTTGAGGACGTTGAGGATGTGTGGGAGGGGGGATTATTTGGCTGTTAAGTATGTTCTTTCTCTTTCTCTTTTTTTTGTTCTTGGGTGGGTTTGAGGGGAAGGGGTGGGATGGGTCTGGGCTAATGGTCTTTTTATGTCAGGTTTACTGGTGCTGGTCCTGCCGCCGTGGAGGCACTCTCGCGCGGTGATCGTGTTCCGCCGAAACGGATTCAGGAAGCCATGATGGATATTTGTGATGCTGTTGCGGCGCAGGGATCGCGGGTGTGGATTGATGCTGAGCAGCAGATCTTTCAGTCGGCGATTGATGCCTGGGCGGTCGATTTGATGAGGAAATATAACCGGGTGGAGAGGGCGGATGCGCCGGTGGTTTTGAATACCTATCAGGCGTATTTGAAGTCTTCTACGGCTAGGCTTAATGAGCATTTACGGCTTGCGCAGAAAGAGGGCTGGGCTATGGGTGTTAAGCTGGTTAGGGGAGCGTATATTGCTCATGATCATCGGGACCGGATTCATGATACCAAGGCCGATACGGACAGGAACTATGATCATATTGTGGAGAGTCTGATTACGAGACAGTATCCGCTGGGAGGAGAGCCCGGACAGCCGTTCCCCAAGGTGCGTCTGTTTGTGGCGTCGCATAACGGGGTAAGTGTGCGGAAGGCGTGTGCGCTATATCGGCAGCGGGCGCTGAGTGGGTTGCCTTTGATTCCGGTGGAGGTTGGTCAGTTGCAGGGAATGGCGGATGAAGTGAGTCTGGGGATGGTAGGGGGATCCACGGATGGGGCTGCGCCGGGGGTGTTCAAGTGTTTGGCGTGGGGGTCGACGGAGGAGTGTCTGCATTTCTTGCTGCGGAGGGCCGTTGAGAATCAGTCGGCGATGGAACGGACGAGAGATACGGCGCGGGCGCTGAGGGGAGAGGCGTGGAGGAGATTGGGTGGGGGAGCTGTGATGTAAACACATGCCTTTCGGCTTTCATTTCAATGTGAATATGATTCGATGATTATCGATCTAGAGATAACCGGTTGTATGTATACCTTTCGGCTCGGAACCCGACCTCGGCGGACGTTCCGGAGTCTGGATTCTGTTTAGCATGAGTATTCCTCTCCTCGAAGGAACCATAATTGATCCCTGTTATCGCAGCACTCGGACTTGGGCTCCCGTACCTTAGCGGTATGCATCTGTCCTTATCAACTAGGGATCGATAGACGCTAAGCTAAAGGATCGGCCCCCGTCTGCTTCGTAGGATCTCCATGGCCTCTGCATAATCGGCATCCTCATCCTCCAGCACCGCTTCCTTCTCACATCCCTCGAGTATTTCTAGCACGTAGTCCTGACAGTCCCACTCAAGGGTCTCATTGTCCACGGGCGTAGCGTCGACAACGTCCTTCACGGTCGGGGTATCGGGGCTGCCGATCTGACATACAAAGATTGACTCGATGAAACCCAGGTTATCGGACGGAAGCCCATTGGACACCATCTTTTGGAAGCTGGGATGCTCGCCATCGACTTCGAAGATGAGGTCTTCAGTATCTGAGTGGAGATGGAGGGCCCAGTGCTGAAAGTTGCCGTAGCGGGGGTGGTAGATGGCCACGGCGAGGTATGGGGGTTTCATGACCTGAGGTTGATGACCGGGAGTGAATGTGTACTGTAACTTTGGAGGTATTATGAGTATGTTTGGATCAAGGGATGATATGCCATTTCCTGTTGTTGCGGGGATCATCTCCTACTGTCAGTAAGGAAGATGGAGAGGGGAGGCATAACATGCCTGAGGCAGTGAGGCATCAAGGCACCGCAGTTGTGTGGTTTGCACTGCTTGAGCCTCTTCCTCCCTGATCTCCTCTTTCCTCCTTCTTTCCCCTCTCCTCACTTCACTTCCCCATCATTCCCATCATCATCATCAACATCATCTTCCGTCACTCAATTGCCTCACCGCCATCCCGTGTCCGTTCCTTGGTTACCTCCCTTTTGCCTTTCTTTGTTCACTCGGCCGACCACCTCGCTACCCAATCATGGCCCACCGCAGGGGCTTGTCCGTGGCACTGGGCCCAACGCGGGATCCCCGGACTTCCGGCCTCGCACCATTCCAGGGCCTTCCGTACCCCACAAAATGACCTGGTCGAGTAGGAATGCCTTGCCCTGAGGACCGTGCCAGCAAGTGCTGAAGGTTCTTCGGTTCGGTTCCATCATCTCCCGCGGGGTAATTCCATCACCGCTGACCCAGAACTGAAGTTCCTCAAGAATTTTCTCAAGGGGCAGTGCATTTAATCTCCTGGTGTTCGCCTGTCTCTCGTTCATTTCACCGATCGCCCTTGGCAATACCTGTCTCGGACACGAGGTGGACCGACTACTGCAGGATAAAACTCCGATCGAATCTCGCGTCGCACTCAAATCTTATTTATATCTCCTATCCTTTTCTCCTTCCCTTCCACTTTCTGAGCGGATAAAGCAACCGCATAGCTTCACTGGGCTCCCGGCCTTTGCAAGATGCAAGTTAAGGTGTGTTTCAGAACCCTGACCCATAGAATTTTGGCTAATTCATCGTGGTAGTTCCTGGCAACTTTGTTGCCGCTTTTGCTGCATCTTCCTGCGGCCGTAGAAGGTCTGCAAGGAAAAAATGCGCGTATTTCGGCGTCTTTGAAGAGACACGCCGGTCGCGACGTGCCCCAAACCGCTCTTAACTCCACCAATGTCTATCCGACTAAGTTCTCGGGCGTGACCTGGGATGAGGATCATTGGCTGCTCACCACCACCACGCCTGACCAGGGCCACTACCAGTCGCGTGGGTCTGTTGCCAACGGCTACCTGGGAATTAATGTTGCCAACATTGGCCCCTTCTTCGAGCTTGACGATCCCGTCAATGGCGATGTGATCAATGGCTGGCCCTTGTACTCCCGGCGTCAGAGTTTCGCTACTATCTCCGGTTTCTGGGATAGACAAGCCCACACCAACGGCTCCAATTTCCCCTGGCTTTCGCAGTATGGTGATGACAGTGTAATCAGTGGTGTTCCGCACTGGAGTGGCCTGGTTCTAGACCTGGGTAATGACACGTATCTTGATGCTACTGTGGACAACCGCACGATTTCGAGCTTTGAGTCTACCTATGACTTCAAGTCGGGCGTGCTGTCCTGGTCGTATACCTGGACCCCACAAGGCAACAAAGGCTCTTATGCAATCACTTATCGACTCTTCGCGCACAAATTGTACGTGAATCGAGCCGTGGTGGACATGGAAATCACTCCTTTGACAAACGGCAATGCCACGGTGGTCAACGTACTGGATGGCTATGCAGCTGTCCGCACAGACTTCGTCGCATCTGGTCAAGAGGAGGGTGCGATCTTCTCTGCTGTGCGGCCTTGGGGAGTCAACAACGTCACGGCTTACGTCTATGCGACCTTGGATGGCTCCGACGGTGTCGACTTGTCTTCGCGTAGGATCGTTACCGACAAGCCTTATGTGAGCACAAACAGCTCGTCGGTTGCACAGGCGGTCGATGTCACGTTTACTGCGAACCAGACTGTCCGCATCACCAAGTTTGTGGGTGCCGCCACCACCGACTACTTCCTTCTCACACAGGAGACAGCCAAGGCTGCATGCCTGGCTGGCTTGGCCGATGGCTACGTCAAGTCGCTGCAGTCGCACGTTGGAGAATGGGCCACGATTATGCATGACAACTCTGTCGATCGCTTCACGGATCCAGTGACCGGCAGGCTACCTGAGGACAGCCACATTGTCGACTCGGCCATCATTGCTGTCACGAACACCTACTATCTGTTGCAGAACACCGCCGGAACCAATGCAATTGTGGCTGCTGGTGGAATCCCCGTGAATGTTGACAGTTGCGCGCCCGGTGGGCTTACCTCGGATTCGTACGGTGGCCAGATTTTCTGGGATGCGGATCTATGGATGCAGCCTGGTCTTGTGGCCTCTCACCCTGAGTCGGCTCAGCGGTTCACCAACTACCGTATCGCATTGCACTACCAAGCTCAGGCCAACATCGAAACTGCATTCACTGGCTCGAAGAACCAGACCTCTTTCAGCTCTTCCGCCGCGATTTACCCATGGACTAGCGGGAGATTTGGCAACTGCACCGCAACTGGACCGTGCTGGGACTACCAGTATCATCTGAATGGCGACATCGGCTTGGCGATGATCAATCAATGGGTTGCAAGTGGCGACACGGCATGGTTCAAGAACTACCTGTTCCCGATCTATGATGCAGCAGCCACCCTCTACTCTGAACTGGTGGAGCGGAATGGCTCATCCTGGACATTGACGAACATGACTGATCCGGTAGGTAACATACCTCTTTCACATGATTTAGCTGACCTCCGCAGGACGAGTATGCCAACAGCATCAACGCGGGCGGATTCACGATGCCCTTGATTGCCGAGACATTGCAGAATGCCAACAAGCTCCGCAAGCAGTTCGGTCTGGAGCCGAACGAGACGTGGGACGAAATCGCAGAGGACGTTCTCATTCTCCGCGAGAACGGTGTCACCTTGGAATACACGACGATGAACGGCACTGCTGTCGTTAAGCAGGCTGACATCGTCCTCAACACGTTTCCGTTGACTTATGAGTCGGACAACTACACGGCGACGAATTCGCTTACCGACTTGGACTACGTAAGTTGCAAGGACCCATGTGAGGTTCCAAGCTAACAAATACAGTATGCAAACAAGCAATCCGCAGATGGACCAGCGATGACATATGCCATCTTCGCGATCGTCGCCAGCGATGTCTCTCCGTCCGGCTGCTCTGCCTACACCTACCATCAGTACTCTTACGCCCCATATGCACGTGGTCCGTGGTACCAGCTGTCTGAGCAGATGATCGACGATGCTAGCATCAATGGCGGAACTCACCCCGCGTTCCCATTCATTACCGGCCACGGTGGTGCTAACCAGGTAGCCCTCTACGGGTACCTTGGTCTGCGTCTCCACCCTGATGACACTCTCTACATCGACCCGAATCTTCCGCCGCAGATCCCTCATATCACTTACCGGACCTTCTACTGGCATGGCTGGCCGATCTCTGCGTGGTCCAACTACACGCACACCACAATCCAGCGGGATTCATCTCTTGCACCACTGACAAGCGCCAACCTTCTCTTCTCTAACGTTAGCATCAAGGTTCAAGTCGGCCAGTCCACCGCCTCGGCCGATGAGGCAACTATTTACTACCTTCCTCTTTCCGGAGAGCTGACTGTCCCTAACCGCATGATCGGGTCTATTAACACAACTCCTGGCAACCAAGTCCAGTGTCATCCAGTTTACTCTCCTGATGCTTACGAACCGGGCCAGTTCCCCATCTCTGCTGTGGACGGCGCTACCTCCACCAAGTGGCAGCCCTCGACGTCTAACTTGACTTCTTTGACGGTCACTTTGTCCACCACGACAGACGCAGCTGCGGAGGCAGTTTCTGGCTTCTACTTTGACTGGTCCCAGGCACCTCCCCAGAACCTGACCGTCATCTTCCACGATTCACCCATCGGGAACCCCTCCACTGTTTTCGCTGCCGCTGGCTCGAACTCCACAGGATACCGGGTGGTTACATCGATGTCCAACATTGTGCAGTCGAAGCCGTACAACGCCATTTCTGCGGAGGAGCTGAACGTGGTCTCTGTCCCCACCGCCAACACCACCACGATCACACTGGATGCGCCCGTCCAGAAAGCCCGGTACGCCACGCTCTTGATCGCAGGCAACCAGGCCAATGAGACTGCTGGTGCTACGGTGGCCGAGTGGGTCATTCTGGGACAGAATAGCACTACTAGCTCAGCGGCGCAGGCCAAGCGGCAGATGAGTGCACGGAGCAAGGCCACTCTGGCTCACCTTAGCTGAACAGCTCGCTCACGTCAATTACGAGACGGTCGCACCTGTAACATAAGTATCCTTCCATATCTGGATGAGAAGTACATAATCATTTAATGCTACATAATATGAATTATGATCGATCGATCCTTGCTAGCCACAACCGGCTCACCACTCCAGTCTTCCGACCGGCTAGTGTACCAGCCACGACTAGATAATGTATGTATGCGAGCACGCTAATAGATACAAGAAGACAACCCCACCATAATACCGCTGTCGCGTAACAGCACAGCAGACCATAAACAGATGCCTCTAACCTCAGAGACACCCATCCATCACCACTCATTAGCAAAGAAAGATCGATTACTCCTCATCCAAAGCAAACCGATCCAGGAACCTAAACGTCCTCAACCCCTCCCTAACACTATCCACAAACTCGGCCCCAACCGTCTGCCCCACAACAACACCCTCTCTCTCATCATCAATCCCCGCATTCCGCAACGCACCCTCCCCACTCCCAACCGCCCCCACCGTCTTCCCGAACCGAAACGCATCCACCAGGACCTGCAACGGTCTTCCAGCCGGATACAGGGTACTCACTGCACTAGCTGTAGAATTGCGCTGCGGCGCAGTGACCGATCCCTCCGGAAAGAGCCCCTCCGCGCCAGGCGCCACAACCACCGCATCGAACTGGATCGCGTCCGAGGCCGAATACGTCTGGTCGACTCCATCGGTTAGTCTCTCCGCGACGACTACCACGTCCACTTCATCGTCTTTCAGCTCCGTGACGAGGTCTTGCGCGGCGGTGATCGACGAGGGTGTTTGCACGGAGGCGAGGAAGCCGACTTTGAGGTTGGAGAGTTTCTTGAGCGGCGTGCCAAAGGTGCCTACGTCGGTGGTTTTGTTGTCGTGGTAGTATGTCGGGTCTGGGGAGGGGGCGGGGATGTCGATGGCGCGGGCGACGCGTCGGGCGAGGTCGTTGGAGATGCGGTTGAGTTGGATGATGACGTTCTGCCGGACGGTGGTCGATTTGACGTTGCTGGTTTCGAAGCGGATGGCGTCGATTAGGAATTGTTGTTCCGTGGGGACGAGAGAGTTGTAGAAGAGGCGGGGTTGGGACCACACGTCTTGGAAGGTCGGGGACGTGCTGCGTAGGAGGTGGCCTGAGGTGGTGCGGCCCGGGGAGGTGAAGAAGCCGTTGCCGGTTGTTTGGTTGGCTTGTTTCGGGGAGGCGGAGTTGAGGGTGTTGGGGCTGTAGGCGTTCGGGTTCAAGGGGATGTACATTTGGCCTAGATAAGTAGGTGGGTGGTTAGTGGGAGGTGATGGGGGAGGTAAGGGAGGGAAGAGGGGATTTACCTGCGCCATCGCGGTTGTTGTTGTGGATTGGGATGCGGGGCTGGTTGATGGGCAGCTGTTCGAAGTTGGGGCCGCCGTGGCGGTTCAACTGGGTGTCGAGGTAGGAGAAGAGACGGCCCTGCAGCAGAGGGTCCTCGGTGAAGTCGACTCCGCGGACGATGTGGCCGGGTTGGAACTGGTTGCGGTTAGATTGGTTCGTAGCGTAGGTAAGGTCCATGAAGGTTATGCGGGTGGAGAGACAAGGAAGCAAGGAGCGACATACCATGACCTGCTCGGTCTCCGCAAAGTAGTTGAGCGGGTTGCGGTTGAGGGTCATTTTTCCGAGTTTCGTGATGGGCACGTACTCTTCCGGCACGATCTTGGTGGGATCAAAGAGATCGAACCCGAAGCGCAGCTGGTCTTCTTCGTCCATGATTTGCACGCCGAGCTGTGCGTGTTAGTTTTGAGCTCGCTGCAAGGGAATGTGTCGCACATACCTCCCACTCCGGGAACCGTCCATACTCGATCGATGTCCAGAGATCCTGACGCATAAAGTCCGAGTTCTTGCCCGAGACCTGCTGCGCTTCTTCCCAGACCATGCTGGCCTTGCCCTGCAGCGACTTCCAATGGAACTTGACCAGCTTGGACGCGCCGCTGTCCGTCACGAGCCGGTATGTGTGCACGCCGAAGCCGTCCACATGCCGGAAGGAGCGCGGAATACCATGTCCAGCCATCGCCCAGAAAAGAGTATGCAGAGCGCTGGGCTGCTGGCTGAAGAAGTCCCAGGCCGAGTCGTGGGCTGTAGCAGCTTGGGGAATCTCGCTGTCACCTCTGGGCTTGACAGCGTGGATCAGATCGGGGAATTGAATGGCATCCTGAATGAAGAACACGGGGATGTTGTTTCCCACGAGATCTGACGGGTTAGTGGTTGGTTAAGAGTAGAGAAGACATGGGCGACTTACCGAAGTTACCCTCATCGGTGTAGAAGCGAGCTGCAAAACCGTGCACATCGCGAGCAAGATCGGTACTGCCACGACTACCAGCGACAGTGGAGAAGCGCACAAACATGGGAGTTTCCTTGCCCTTTTCGGAGAGAAAAGAGGCCGCGGTGAGGTTGGAGAAATCGCCGTAGGAGACGAAAACACCGTGGGCACCGGCACCACGGGCATGCACGGCGCGTTCGGGAACCTACATTCTTAGTGGTGCAATTGCGTTGTAGACGAACAATAGAACTTACTCGTTCATGATCGAAGCGCTGGATCTTCTGGCGGAAGATAAAGTCCTCCAGCAAAGTGGGACCGCGTTCACCAGCGCTCAAACTGTTCTGGTCCTCAATGGGGCCGCCCACGTCGGAAGTGAGGTAGGTGTCATTGTCATTGAGGTAGTACTGAGAGAGGAATTCCTCAGTGGATTCTGAGGCATCTGAGGAATCGCGAGCAGAGAGGTCACGACTCACGTAAGGGCAGGCGGCATTGGCGAGGCCAATGAGGCCGACGAGACCGATGGGACGCATGGTCGCGTGGAAGGGAAGGGGAAGATTGGACTAGGTCCAGGGAAGATGAGGCAATTGGAGAAGTGAAAGGTGAAGGAAGGGGAGGGGAAGGGGAGAGAAGAGAGGGGGAGACTGAGGGAGTTATATAGAGTGAATGGGATTGGCATTGGCATTGCATTGGCATTGGCAGTAAGTAGCTACTAACTGAGTAGATACTAGTAATACTAGTACGAATGTAGGAGCCGTCTGTTCCCAGCATGTTTTGTTAGATACCAGTCGGGTGTGTACCTTACTTGGGATGATATCTTTCGGTAAGGAATCCTGGGATGCGTATTAAGATGCAGACACACGGCCAATGGCGCGTTGCTCATTGGCCGGGGGGTCCATGCCCCGGCCGAGACCCAGGCTTGGCGATGAGGAGGAGGTCGAAGCTGACTGGCGGGAGGGCTTGGTAATCGGGAGGTCTGGATGGAAAGGGACTGGCTTGGCAGGCGATGACGTTGAATTCCACTCGTGTCGTGCCATAAAATACAGTATTATCACGATAATAATAATAAAATGACAAAATAGCAGTGATGTTGCACAAAACCTAAAAAATGGGAAGCGTCGGGATTGTCAATTAGTTTCCCCACTCATGTAACAATAACAATGATAACAACAACAACAACACACAGCTAATTGGTCTTCCCCTTGCAGGGTGAGAACTTCAATTCAGCTGTAGCCCAAATACTTATTGTACTACCTCAGGCATAAACTTACTAACAACCAGGAACAGGCTTTATGCACGAGGGTGATAATTCCACCATGTACATTGGCCAGGACATGTTCATGTTCATGTTCCATCTGCAGGACCCTAATCAGCTATTAATAACTAACCCGACGGTTCCTTACAGCAACCCCCTCCCCCAGTTACACTACCACTACTAGTACTACAACTAGTATATGATCAGACCATCCAGCCAAGCCCACCCCCGCAGCCGGGGATTCTTGGTCCTGCAACGTGCTGAATTTCCATCACACCGACGCGTCGCCGCCCAGAGTCACAACCTACTAGTAAGAAAGAACATCACAAAATTCTATTTCTGTACAATAGCTAGTCTACACATCCCCCATCATCTATCATACTAGTATAGTATACTAGTATCTAAAAATACTTTGGCCAAACCGGATCCTCCCACGTCCTTCCCCCCTTTATCAACTGACTATCCACTCCATCCGCTCCCGAAGAAACATACAACACCTTGGCCTGTGCCCCCTCATTCCAATACTTATACGTCACTCCCTTAGGCACAAACACCACATCTCCCATCTCCACTCTGGCAGTCTCATACTCCCAAATCTGCACCTGCACGCTACCCTCCAGCACCTCCAACGCCGCCGGGCCCGCCGTCCACGTCGGCGCCGTCGCGTTGCTCGGCTGCCGACTCATGATGATCGTGCTCAGGGTATAGTTTGTATCCTGGGCCTGCGTGGCCGTGACCAATGGCTGCACGATCTGGTACGCCCCGTACTGCGAGTTGAGGTACTTGGGGCCGTAGTTGTTGGCGATGAAGTAGGGCTTGCCGGCGGCGCCGAGGGTATCGGATTCGGTGTGCCAGCCGGAGTCGGAGGGAGCGGTGCCGTTGACGAAGTCCCGGCGGGGAGTGAAGTCGAGTTGGGCGTAGACGTCGTATTGTTGCAGGCCGGAGATGGTGCTGCTGTCGGGGCCGGTGGCGGAGGAGGAAGAAGAGTTGCTGGAGCCAGGTACGTAGGGGGTTTCGGTGCCGGAGGTGTAGTTGGTGCCGAGGGCGTAGAAAAGGTCCCTATTATTTCAAGATTTGATTAATATGCTGATATGTGAGTAAATAGACGGGGTATTGGCTTACTCGAATCCACCAGGAACAATCACTCCCACCATCTCAGTGTCCGGGTCGAGGATCTGGAACGTGTGTGTTGTGTTCCGAGGTACAGAGCCATAGTCTCCCTGGGTGAGGAGACGGGCCTCCTGTTCTCCATCGCCCTTTTGGGCCCAGAGCTGAAAGCGACCCTTGAAGTTGAAGAAGTTCTCATAGTGTGTGCGGTGGATGTGAGGGAGGACACCGAGGGAGCCGCTCGAGGGCGCATTGGTGCTCATCAGCGTGAAGGCATAATCGGAGGAGGGGCCGGTGACGGTGAACCGGTACAGTTGGGAGCCGATCGTTACGGCATGTGAGTTCTCATAGTGAGGGAGGATATAGGGGCGAGGAGACGAGGGGGCTTCGGAGACGTAGAGGTCCTCGACGGATAGGGCTGAGGCGAGGGCCAAAAGAGAGGAGAGAACGAGAGAACGCATGGCGATGGAGTCTTCAGATCCAGATTCCGATCAGATCTTGCTAATTCTTTCGATAGACATTCTCTGCAGCTACGATTCTACAAACTTATACCCTTCGCGTGGACAATGAAGCCCGATACTCACCCCGGAAATCCCGAGATTCTGCAACATGGCCCTTCTGGTACGCGAAATGAGCTGCAGACCTCGTCGCAGGTCCCGATTTGCTGGAATTGCAGATACATCAGCGACCAGACAAGACAGTAGGGCAGATGAACCTCGGTGCCTGTACGTATCCGGTCATGAGTCTCCGGAATGACGAAACGCCGTGTGTGTCGGAAATTCCGAGAGTAGGATAGCGATCAACAGGTCCACTGCAGGAACTATCCAGGCCAAGGGACGCCATTCTTGGCGGGAGCAGAGTGACTCGTCCTGCCTTGGATTCTTCATTCCGCCGGCTGCAGAATATCTGCAGCCACCTATACGTACCTTAAATCCCCATGTACTCTAAAAGTATCATTTACAGGAACATCAAATGTCTACTTACTCTGCACCTCTCACACAGAAATCACCCAGCAACACTGAAGAAACCAAATGCCCCCGATGTCGATCACCGTCGATCATTCAAGGTCCGAGAGCTCCGATAAACGGCGGGTCGTCAACTCGGCATTTGTCTTTGCGGAAAAACCACACAGGCAGCGGGGAAATGCCGCATACAGAGTAGTTTACCCAATGTCAACCGGACTTACACAGTAGTCTGTAGATAATAGCCACACACTAACCCACTCTAGTAAGTCTGGACATCGCTTGTAAGTCCACGACAGACGGATCCAGGAACACTGACGGTCAATCAAGCACGTAAATAGCCTAGGATTGTCCGTGAAGATTGACTAAGCGGAAACAATCGGAAAATAACCAACTCTTCAGACTCCGGAGGGGGACTTGTGGCAGTACACTTGGGTCAGTTATGAGGATCTGCTTACACCAAGTCTTGGTGCAGACATTGGCCGGGTAAATAGTCTACTCTGTATCAGTGTCTGCATTTGTGCTCCGTGGTGTTGGGGGGGAAGAGTGCCAAGGATAGTTTGACGTGAAACGGCCGCCAGTTTCACTGACATTCTCTCGGTAGTGGATAACCCGAGATACATTTTCAGTTGAGCTCATTACGACATATCTACCACTGCAACAAATTATGAGCATGTAAAAAGTAAAAGGAAAATTAAAAGGAAATGAAGGTGTGTGTTGTTGTAGTGTGGTGCGGGTAAAAGTGAAAACCCCCCAAAAAAAAAGCGGGAGAAAAAAGAATTGTCCCTGGGCGGGGTCGAACCGCCGATCTCAGTGATTCCTGTATGATGAAACCATAAGCACTATGCCTTAACCACTTGGCCACAGGGACAACTGTTTTATGTGGGGAATTTCTTAATATGGCTTATACCCTACTTCTGGCATATCCGATATCCGGGGATGAGACTGTTTTTTCTGTTCATGGTTCCTTGGGATGATTGTGGGGGGGAAGCTTTAAGTTTGGTACGACGTGACTTTTTCCTACGTAGAGTGGCGTGTCTTTCCATTGGTTTAGTTTGGTGTAGCGTAGCTGTAATTGAGGGGTTTGGGTTGTGGGGTGTATGTATAGATTGTGGATTTGACTGACATGCGACCGTAATACATATTCGCATACTAACTTAGCGAGGTACTAGGCTACCTATCTATTCTTCAGTTCTAGGATATAGGGACCTGTGACAACGACGCCGAAAATGGCTCCCCTCTGCATCCTAACCTAGGCACCCCCCTCCTTCTCGTCCAGCCTGGTCGAGCGGCTATAAGATGCTTCGTCTGCCCTCTCCCTCGATCGACCTCGACACGCTTGACTCGCAAGTCTCCTATCAAAGTATCCAAGCCTTGGCTTTTGTCTCCCAATTCTCTTCTTATGGCGCCTGTGTCCGTACCTCCAGGTCAAGGCGATGAGTACTGCTGTATATAGACACCGTCGTCGATGCCATTGTTAATACACTCGATAGTGGACTAAGTCAGACTATCTTTCTCCCTGGTATAATTAGGTTCTTCGCGGGCTTGGTAAGTTATCACCCCTTTTTGAAGGACTATTATGATTCGAGGCGGCGCCAAATCACTAAAAAGTGGATTTCAAAAGGGCGCCAGGAGATGGACCCGACGACGGAAGAGTTAAATAGAGACTAAAGGACGGGCTGGTAGCCTCTTCTTACACGTTCATTTTGCTAATCAATGTCCCTTCAATATTATTTTCGACGATGGAAAAAGAAAATGGCAAATATGATTAACTATATAAAACGGTTCTCTCATCCAACTTGCACATAGTTCAAGTCTTCTCTTGTCGTTGCGTGTAATTATTCCCGTGGACTGGTAACCTGGACGATCATGGTTGGGATAATTCCACCTAAAACGACAATCCCACTCATGAGCCCGGCCGTACCAGTGAAACCTAGAGCACGAAACATGTATGGGAAATAGAAAGGGCCGACCTAGATGTTCCTGTTAGCGGGGGTAAATAGGCACCGAGAGTAGAGGAGGACGAACAAAACCATAAAGTAGCCTGATAACGTTGAACAACACTCCAATTGAGGCCGAGCCACTGGGCGAAGTATCGATGGCATACGCAGTGAGAATGGTAGATTGAATCTGATTGCCAAAGCTGGCAATGGCAATTCCCACACAGGGGGTCACATTCCAAGATGTCGCCCGCTCAAGTTGAAACCCCCAAACGAGCTGACCAGCAATGATAGTGAGGAAGCCAGGATAAGTCAACCAGAGGCGGTCGGCGGGACAGACTCGGCCTTTGCGCTTTCGATAAACCTTCATAAAGTAGTCGGACATTGGACCGCCGATCTGCTCTCCAATTACGCATCCAATGATGATGGGGATGAACTGGAGACCGGTTTGTTGAGCATCGAGATGAAATTTCTCCCCAAACGTGAGGGGCATCTCGACCACGAAGACGATATTTGCATAACAGAAGGTGATAGCAGTCGCTAGAGCTGCTACCAAGATCCGAGGGTTCTTGGCTAGGCGGAATGGAGACACAAAATCCGATATTCTGATGGGACGCGCATCAAGTCGTTTGGGCAGCAGCAGCAACCACTTACTACTATCCGCGAACTTTCGGAAGATCGAGACATTTTCTTCTTCGGCAGCATCATTCTCAGGTTCCATAACACGAAGCAGCGTCTCCCCGCCAAGGCAGATATAAGCGACCGCCTGCAAGAAATTGATGATGGCATATATCCAAAATATGAATTCCACTTGAATGTGCTGCACCACGAATCCCATGATAAAGGGACCAGCCGGGGTACCGAGGATGGTCATCAAAACCCACCATCCCACCTTCCGGGCATATTCATCCGGAGTAGATAGTTCAGCCACCACTCCACTTCCAATTCCAATCGGTGGAGATATGAAAGCTGCAGTCAAAACACGAGTGATCATCTGGCTAGCGTAACTTTTGCACCGGGCGCCTCCGATATTGCACACCATACTCAAAAGGACCGAGAATATCAGGATATAGTGGCGGCCATATCTTTCTGTGATGACAATCCAGAAAATTGGTGCTATTCCAAGTAGTACGATCTAAAGACGGTAGTCTTATCAACAAACCTGGTCCCACTCTGGGAATTTTACGGAACAAGATACTTACTTGAATGGACACCAGGTAGCTTGCGTCAGCTAGGGACACGCCATAAGATTTTGCCATTGAAGAAGTTGCTGGCACGACTCCTGCTGCCATGAACACAGAGATCATGGAGTGGAATGAGACCATTAGAATCATAGCATTCTTCTTCCATTGTGGCCAGTCGACAGCCTGGCGAGAAGTACTAGGTTCCATCGACGACGAAGGGACTGCTCCTTCCAATTGGTAGGGAGGACCCGATTCACTTGACTCCAGATGCTGGAATCCATTCTTTGGCTGAAGGTCGCCAGAGCCCGTGTCGCTCATGGTTGCGGGGAAGGATTGAAATTAGTCAAATAGAGATTTCTATTATTTTTGGATTGAAGCTTAGAGAGCTTGCTCCTGATAGTTTTGCTGTTGGAAAAACCCAGCCAGCCCACCTCCTTTTCTATCTATCCATATCTCACATACTTTACTATCTATACTAGGGTTTCCTAACGCGTCCTAATCTAGTTCAATGCGGGGTAAGAGTGTCATTCCCCACAGCAATCAGCCAGTTCACAGTTTCGGTTCTCATCCCGGACTGTAATGATCCTAGTTGGTTCCCCGCGTTTCGGGACTAATCCCGTGTATCTGAGATGGCAGGTGTCTGATTGGGGCAGAAGGATACGTAAATTGGCCTAAATATTCAAGGTTTGGGCCCCGTTTCCGCGCAATTGGCTCTTCGCCCAATACAAGTTGATCATATCTCCAGAAGATCCGAGGAATAAGATGGAATCTATCCCGAGTGCTTAGACCCCACAACGGCACGCATCCCTCGTGTGTTGTTCACCGCAATCGCATTCTAATCAATATTGACTATTACGAATGGGCTACAGTTATAGCGGAATCATGGCGCGTCAAGTTCAGATACCCCTTAAAAAATGAGCATAGAAGGATGTCTCAATAATTTGGCACATTTGGTCATTCTTGATTTAGGTTTCGATATCATCTCCCATCACACGAGGAGTGAAAAGCCTCACAAAGTTAGGGTACTCTTCACCCAAGAGCCATATTGCTATGGCTTGTTGAAAAGATTGTTCGCATTTCCAAAGTAGATCTTCTCGCGTAGCTCTGGGTCAAGCGGGAAGCCATCTAGAATTTGCTTGAATCCAAGTGATTTGTCGGGAGACGCATAAGGAAAATCAGAGCCTGCGGAATATATTAGCTAGTGACAAATAACAGGGAACATGGGAAAAGCCTTACCATAAGTAATATGATCATGCGGAATAATTTCGAGAACCAGGTTGAGAACGGCCTCGGAACTGGAGAGGGCCAAGTCAAAGTAGAATGACCGAAAGTCTTCCATGATCTCCTCGGAGAATTTCCCATAAATGCGGGCGGTTGCAGCGGCTTCCTTCGACACGGTGCAAATGCGCGTAATCAAGAAGGGCAGCGTTCCTCCGGCGTGGGAGAGAATCACTTTGCAGTCTGGATAACTTCTCTTTGTGTTGGTGATAATCATGTCGACAACAGTTCTCGTGGTCTCATGGGGATAATCAATGGCTGGCTGCGGCAGGAGAGGGTTGACTCGAGTCGTATCAGCGGGATGAGTAGGGTGAATGAAGACCACGGCCTTTCTGGCATTCAATTCCTCCCAGATAGGCTTGAATTCAGGGCTACCAAGGTATTGGTTCCATGGGCCGTATCTTGTAAATAAAGTCACACCTTCAGCCTTCAACACATCTAGGGCGTATTTGATTTCCGCCAGAGCGCCTTCGGTATCGAGGAGGCAAGGCAACGATGCGAAAAAGCCCCATCGTTGTGCATCTTCATCACGCTTGGCTGCAGCGTACTCGTTCGCCTTGCGGGCCAGTGCTCTTCTCTTCTCGGTCATTG